TACAGGAGGAGGTAAATAATGCAAAATCAGCCCTCTTTAGTTGCCAGTTAGCTCTTAACAATGCTCCGGACAATCAATCATTAAGGGATCAAGAGAAACAGCTTCTTGAAACCTACACAATACTCAAGCATACTGAAGAACAAATTTACAGACAAAAGTCCAGAGTTCAATGGTTAAAGAGTGGGGATTCAAATACTTCTTTCTTCTATAAATCCATTTCATCACGATGTAATAGAAATAAAATTGTTTCCATTACTACTCCTACTGGTACTCTCCTTGACACTGAAACAGCCATAAAAAATGAAATTGTTTCCCATTTCCATAAGTTACTTGGGAAGAATCCCCACCAATGCATTGGTCTGGAGTCTCTCCAATCCTTCATCCAGCATTGTGTTCCTGCAACATTCATTGAATCACTCTGCTCCATACCTTCTCATGTTGAGATCAAAGATTGTATGTTCTCCCTCAATTGTGACAAGGCTCCAGGGCCTGATGGTTACAATGCTCATTTCTTCAAGTAGACCTAGGCAGTTATAGGTGATGATGTTATAAGGGCAATTAGTCAGTTCTTTTCTACTGGGAAGCTGCTCAAAGAAGTCAACAATACATACATATCACTGGTCCCCAAGGTTCCAAACCCCCCCCCCCCCCCCCCAACTATAAGTGACTTCAGGTCAATTTCTTGTTGTTAAACAATTTACAAGTGTATATCCAAGCTTATAGCAAATAAGCTTAAACTTACCCTTCCCCTAATCATAGACCAGGCCCAATCAACTTTTATTAATGGAAGGCAGATTGATGATGGTATTCTCTTGGCTCATGAGCTTTTGAATAGGTATCACAGGCATACAACTTCTCCAAGATGTGCTCTAAAAATTGACCTTAGAAGGGCCTTTGACTCAGTGTCTTGGGATTTCCTTTTCCAAACTATGTTGCCGATGGGATTCCCTCAGGTGTTTATTGGCTGGGTCAAAACTTGTATCACAATACCTTCCTTCACCATATCAATCAATGGTGAATTTAATGGTTTTTTTAACAGTGTCAAGGGGTTATGGCAAGGAGACCCCTTGTCACCATTTCTTTTTGTGATTGTTATGCAGGTGTTCTCATTGAAGCTGAACAAAATCACAGCTACCATGCCATTTAAATTCCATTGGAGATGCAAGCACCTGAAGCTCACACACCTCATCTTTGCAGATGATCTTATGCTCTTCATATATGCAAGCATGCCATCCATTGTAACCCTTAAGTATGCTATTGAGTCATTCTCTGCACTCTCTGGACTTCAAATTAACTACAGCAAGAGTCAATGTTTTTTATCAGGTGTAAATGAAAATGTGGAGTCTAGTATCCTCTCTTTCCTTGGGTTCGAAAAAGGGATACTCCCTGTGAGATACTTAGGTGTGCCTCTGATCACTTCCATGTTGAAAACAAATGACTGTAGGACTCTGATTGATATGATCACCAAGAGGATTGCTCACTGGACTAGCAGAGACTTATCCTTTGCTGCCAGGCTGTAACTTATTCAAACTGTGCTATTTTCTATTCAACTCTATTGGAGCTCAAAGTTCATTTTACCAATGAGTATCATCCATGAAATGGATAGCTTATTTAGATCCTTCTTGTGGTCAAGCCCCTCTCTCAAGAAAACTGGTTCAAAAGTGGCTTGGGACATCTGTTGTTTGCCTAAAAGGGCTGGAGGTCTTGGTATTCCAAACCTAGAAATGTGGAATGAGGTAGCTGTAATGAAACATTTCTGGCATATCATCAATTCCAAACAAATGTTATGGGTTAAGTGGATCAATCAATACTTGTTCAAAGGGAGAAGTATTTGGGAGGTCAAGATTCCAGGTCAGTGCTCTTGGAGCTGGAGGAGACTATTCAGCTTAAGATCTTCAATTAAACCTCTTGTCAAACATGAAATTGGTAATGGTTCAATCACCAACTTTTGGTTTGACAATTGGTGTAGTCTTGGACCACTTCATCAACTTATTCAACCACAGCAGCTCAAAGATTCTGGCTTTGACACAAAAACAAAGCTAAGCTCATTTATATCAAACTCCACTTGGTTTTTCCCTCCTTCCATCACCACTTTAATCCCTCAACTTCTGCAAGCAAATAACATGCCACTACCATGTCCAGAGAAACAAGACAAAGTGTTGTGGATTCATTCCACCGGTGGAATCTTCTCAATAGCGCAAACACTAAAGCATTTGAATCTTCACTTTCCAAGTCCATCATGAACTCACCTTGTTTGGTTCAAGAATTCAGTACCTAAATACTCATTTACCCTATGGGTGGCCATACAAGAGAAATTACCTACACGAAATCGAAGATGCACATCCTACATCAATGCCACCATTTGTTTTTTATGCAATTCTCACTTGGAGTCCCATGACCATATTTTATTCCAATGTGACTACACAAAGCCCTTATGGTCATTTATTCAATCAAGGTGTGGTATCCATATCCATCCCAACTCATGGCAATATCTCATCACTTGGGCTTCTCATCACTGGCGTAACAACAAAGGGTTCTATAGCAATACAGTGGTAAAGCTTGCTTTGAGCTCATTTGTTTACAATATATGGATGGAGCGTAATAGAAGAATTTTCAAGAAGAATTTCCTGTCCCAAAATGCACTTCTACAGCAAGTCTTAGATGCAATTAGACAGAAGCTATTGTCCTTTCAACTCATAGATTCCCCAAGCTCCAGGCGTATTATTGAAGAGTGGGAACTCTCAGCTTCTGTTATCCGAACACTGGCAAAACCTCCAGACAACAACTAAATCTTGAAGGGCGAAAATCAGTCTCATGATCAGTGCTTTGCGTTGTGTCCAATTTTAGGCAACTGTTAATTTATGTAGCTCTTGTATGGGTTGCCTTTGTGGTGGACCTTATACTTTTGGGTTTGTAATGTTTGGTTAGCCTAGGCTAACTATCTAGCTTATAATTCTCTTGGTTTTATAAAATTTATTTACCCTTCAAAAAAAAAAAAAAATGGAAAAAAAAGAGAGTTTTTTCTTACATGGTATAATTGAATAGATATATGGTGCTTCCTCTTTTCCCTCACAAACAAATAAAATAATCACAAACTTGTTCACGTATTCCATAAATCTAAATTTACAAAGTAAAAATTCCTAGAACTATATAGTTTGAATATATCAAATCATTTTAAGTCAAAACCTCCCTAACTACTTATTTTAACAAATTTAAAATTTTGGTAATGGAGAAGACGGATAGTTTTTAGTTTCGAATTAATGAGAGAAAAGAGGAAGCACCATTATTAATATTATTTTTTTTGGTCTTTCCTTTTTTTACCTTTCATTTATATCATGTAAGAAAAGAATTTTGTTTTTTTGTTTTTTTAATTCTAATATGTCATAGCGGAGTTTTCGGCGTTTCCACCTTCGCGTTGCCTATTATTGCTCAAATCAAAATTGATTCAACAATACTTCTCTTATTATCTAAATGAATAAAATTTAGAAAAATAAATTTACGAAATTATACTTTTATCATTAAAAGAAAAATAAATCTAAAATAATTAAGTTATAATAATTAAGTGGGATTAATTTTATTGAATATGTATTGTCGTTGGATTGGCATACTAATGACTTAGTATGCCCATTTTATCCGATATTTATTTTTATTTTAAAATAATTTTCAAACAATTGGGAGAAAATCTTAAACAGTAATATAAAATTTTCTATTTGTCAATTGAATCCCATTTTTTGAAACTCCAATAATTAATCCAAGTAAAAAAAAAAAAATTTCCAATGGTTGAAACAATTGTACTCTCTTACAGTTACTTACGTATTATATGTGATGTCCAAATTCAATCGGAAAATATTGAGGCATTTATTGTTCCACTTTCAAAATGGCAAAAAAAAAAAAAAAATACAACTCAATTTAAAATTACTACAGTACTAATTTTGAATTTTTTGACACAATTAATTCAAAATTAAGGATAGAACTTTCCAGCAGTGGGCCCTTCAACTGGTCCCATAAGGCAATGATGGTAAAAGATCACAACAGTCCTCACATTGCGCGCAGCACAGGTGTCTTTCAGTAGGGTGATGAATATCAAGAGATAACAAGCCACAAACATCACCTCTTCTCTCTCTTCTTATCTCTCTGAATTACTCAATTTCTCTCTCTCCTCACAAATTCCTTTAACCTTAACTACTCCATATTAATTGAAAATTAAATTACCAAATTACATAAATAAACAAATTTTCCTCCTTTATATTTCTTTATGATCTGCTGCATTTATTAACTGAAATACAGTATATAGTTATATTTGTAAGGAACAAGTGTATAAAACACTCTTAAAGTTTATCCTTATTTAAAAAGTGTGTAAAAAACACCCTTAATCTTTTCAAATTATGCAAAAATATCTCATCTGACATAAATTAGTATTGTAATATCCGTTTTGCCCTTTTACTCTTCTGAAAATATCCAAAGAAATATATATGTTATTAATCTCATAGTATAAGGTGTGCTACCTTATATATATATATTTTTAAAGTTTTTCCTCTATATATATCGCTAAACATTTTTTAAAAAATAAACTTTTAAAATTTGTAAAATAAGGATTTGAATTTTTTGATATTTCAATTCACTCTTTTCTACTAAATTTTATTTTTCTTTATTTTATTTATTTTTTGGTACCCACACTTTATGACCGGAGAGACACTCCCACCGCCAATCGAAGCATATGAATTCTTTGCTTCCAAAAGGTGATATAAAGAGAATTTGTTATTTTCTTTATTTAATTTTATTTGATCATAATTGGAAAATAAAAATTGTATATTTACAATATGCTAGTTCTAACATTTGATTCATACTATAGTAGTGCTTGCGGCCTACTTCTTCCTCTATCTAGGAACTTTAGAATCCGCTATATATTTCACATGCTTGTTGTAAATCAGTTGTACATTCAAATCTTTATTAACTAAAACAAATCATTAAGAAAGAAGTATGTGATCGAATATGGAAATTTATGAATGCTCACAAACCAGACAAGAAAAGAACTTGGAAGCAAAGGACTTGGACTTAGCCAAATTGGGTGGATCTCCTCCTGGCACACAAATGTGGGATTCATCAGCACCATTTTTCATGGCATTTTCACATTCATCTAAGAATCTCTTGAATGCACCATTCACATACTCAACAGCCTCACCAACACTCATGTTCTCTACTAGTTTGTGAGGATAAATGTCCTTCTTATGATCCCCACATAATGCTGCTCCCAATTGCACCAGCTCCTCCTGAAATTCACTCAACTTTGCATTCTCTTTCGCCTCAGCTTCGCGAAACTTCACAGGCTCTGGCAATGTAACTGCAATACGCACATTATATTGCAACAAGTTACTAATCTTTGTTCAAAATATTTCAAATATATATGGTGCTTTTTAGATTACCTGGGCAGTCTGTTCTTGGAATTTCTCTGCTAATAACACACTCAAAAGTGCCTGCCCATGCGTCACGCTTTGTCAGGAACTCTTTTAAATTGAAGATCTTTTTAACAGTCGCTGGAATTGATGAATGCTCAAACTCTGACGAAGGATATGGCCCTGAAGGCCCATGCAACACTGCAAAAGATTGGATTAATTTCTTGTGTGAAATAAAGTGACTGAACCCTTTGTTAAAATCTACTATAACAAAGTAAATTTATATATATATATATATGACCCTGGAGGCTTAGGATCTGAACCATCACATTTTATCATTATGTTGGAGCTGAAAAAGAACACTAATTTTCAAAACCACTCCATAAAGTAGAGCTTGAAGTTAGCTATAATCAAGGGAAATTGTGTGGGGTTTTTTTATTTATTTTTGTTTTTTATTTTGGGGGGAGAGGCAATACTAAAATTTTATCAGTATATAATTCAAAAAAGGAAAAATCACTATTATAAAATACTAAAAAAAATCAATCGGGGCAAGCAATTGCCCCCACTGTCTATATATTAGGTTCGTGCCCAGCTATAAGAATAAATATTTGAGTGCACATTGTACCGAAGAGAATTTAGGTTCAAATATCATAATACCCCTACTATCTATATACTAGGTTCGTGCCCAGTTATGATAACTATGTATATGAATAAATACCATAGAATTTGAATGCACGGTGTACCAGAGAGAATTTAGATTCAAATATCATAGTGACCCCGTGTTTACATACTAGGTCTGTGCCTGGCTATAATAAATATGTAGATGATTAAATACCATAGAATTTAAATGCACGGTATCCCAAAGAGGCCGATCTAAGTTCAAATATCATAATGTTGGCACCATGCGTACCTGTTCCGCGTTCGATCCATGGAGAAATCAGGATAGCTGGAATACGGACACCTAAACGATCAAATTGGAAGTTGTATGGCTCAGGACCCGTGATACCATCTGGACTTGGAACTCCAGTCACTGGCGTTGGCACATGATCATAGAAACCGCCATGCTCATCATATATGATTATAAACAACATCTCATTCCACTGGGGACTTCCTCTCAGTGCCTCATAGACTTCCTTCACAAATTTCTGGCCCTCAGAGACATCATGAGAAGGGTGATCATCATTCCCTGGCAATAACTTTAAGTCGAAATATCGTTGCTCCACCACCACATAGTTTGGTAGCTTTCCCTCCTTACAGTGCTTTTTGAAGTTTAGATCAAACTGGTGAAAGTTCTTTATGTATTTCAATTTTCGAAGATTCCTTGAAATAGACAACGAATTTTGCATCAGAAACACAGAATGTGCTAACAATAAACAATATGATTAAGGCATGCCACTCCTAGACCCATAACACAAATTAAAATAATTTCTATATAAATTATTAAAAAAAATTTACAAGTACTGGAGCAATATAAATAAGTTATATGATTTATAATGTAGCTGGACTAAAAAAATATTTCAATTTTTGAACAGATAGGTACTTTTTGGTTATTCCAAGTTTCGATATGAATGGTTCGAGCTCAACTAATTCAAGAGTTTATTCAAATTCATTTTTTAAGCAAATGAATTGAGTTCAAGTTTAATTTTTAAACTCATTGTGGATTATAAGCAATATTAGATTTAATTCATTTAAACTCGTGAACATGAGCGGATATATATAGGGTACTATATTGGTGAGGATATGTCACGTGTGAATACATATGTTACCTGTAAAAAAGTGTGGAGGGAGGGTACTGATAATAGATCCCAAAACTGTGACCAGCCTCATCCAAGGATTCAAATATAGTCTTCTGAGGGAACCCTTCAATCAACTGCAACCTATTATTGCTGGTGGCCCCATGTGACGTGGCCGAGTGCACGTACAACCGGTTCGGCTGCGTGGAGGCCGGAACCGCAGCGAACCACCGGTCACACACTGCAAACTCTGACACCAGCTCCCTATAAACCGGCACAGCGTCCGGTTCGTATCCGTTCATCACCATACCCGACAGACCCTCCTCCGTGCGCTCAGCATTCTGAGCGAACCCTTCCATAGTTGGCAACAGTTTAGTGGAGGATGACTGTGGGGTCCACACAACCCCGAACACTTGCTCGTAGATTGATTGGATGGAGTGGTCCGGGTCCGGCTCAACGTACTTGGACCGGTTGCTGAAGAAAATCCGGTCTGAACCGGTGGAGAAAGGGTTCGACTCGGTTCCGTCTACGCCGTTGATTTGTGGGTTGAGGGACTTCATCCAACCCAACATGTGATCAAATGAGCGGTTTTCTTGGACCAACACTACCACTGTTTTGATGGGGTTTGTAGTTTCTGAAGCCATTGTTGTTGCTGCTTTGGAGTGCCTTTCAATGGTGTTTGTTGAAGAGGGACTTTAAAGCTTGTTTGAAAAACAAATGCTTTTCTTGTTTGTTTGATAATTCGTATTGGCATGTGAAGAAACCAATCCAAGTGGTTAGACTACATCAGTGGTGACATAATTTTTATTTATTTATTTATTTATTATTATTATTATTATTATTTATCAAGATGTTACAACAACTTTTTCATGATGCTATTTTATTATTATTTAGTTATTATTTATCAATTGTTAATATTTTGCCTAGCCATTTTTATATAGCAATTGATATTCATGATGTTACAACAACTTTTTCAATTATTGCTTAGTTACAATAACTTTTTGGATCGTATATTTATTGCACTATGGTATAATGTATGCTTGTGTTCCATTATTAATCTACACGCGGACGCAACACAAGATCAAGGCACCAGAGGAATTCGGATTCCATGATTAGGAAAATTCTTCTAAAAATAAATTTTATTTATTTATTTGACAAATTAAGAAAAAATGAATGTGAATGGAAGAAAATACTGCGTAAATCGGCACCGAAGAGATTAAATCATGTGAATATGATATGAAGATATCTATCAGTATTAGCCTAAACTTTGAATTTGTATAGTATTGCTTATTAGTTAAGAAATTTTAATCGTATTGCTCAAACTAACTAATTGTTATTTTTATTTTTATTTTTATTTTAACAATTCAACAAATTGTTATTCTCACTTGAAGTTCACGTAATGTCATTTTTTTAATCATACGGTGTTGACTCTGTTTTCTTGATTATTAAATAATTACGTGTAAGCTATTATATATTTCTATATTTGCTTTTCCATTCTTTGCGGTACCAACTCGTTATGAAAGACTTGGGACTAAGAAGTTATGCTATGGAATCAAGCATATGCAATGCGTGTAGAAATAGGACATTATCTGCTAATGAATAGTTTAATGCTGTGTCTAATTAGAGAATTCTATCATAAATATTTATTATAAAATAATCAGATGTGCCTTCATACTGACTATATATATATGTATAATTATATACATACTGCATACAGAAGTGATCAGGTGGTAGAAACTATAGGCAAGGTCGATCAACTACTAATATAACAAGTCGACACTAAACTTGATGGGGCTTTGTGGATGGGTGAAAATTTGCAATTTTTCTCATTATTTTAGAAGCATTTTTCATAATTTTATGAAAAATTCAACTTTCCAACTTCTTACATTGTACTTTAGAATCTATCAAAATAAGTTTTTTCGTACTTAGAGAGACTCGGAATTATTTATTTTATACTTTAAATTATTTTAGAAGGAGATGAAGTATCACTAAATCACATGCCTTCAATTCATGACGAGTAAAATTATTTAGTAATATAGTTGAAGACAACATATTTGATATAACTCTTTTCAAATCAAGTTCAATAATTTGTATTCTGAAAAAATAACTTATGATAAATATTTAATGAATCTTCATGCCACATTACAATAGCTAATTAAAAAGAACAACTAAAAGCTTCATAATATGAAGTTCACTAATTATTAAATCATTTAATTATCAATAACTCTTTAAACTAGTAAGTTGATAAAATATTTTGATATTAAAGTAATATAAAAAAGGGAAAAAAAAATACATTAATAGATTTCTTTACATGAATCAATATAAATATTTCAAAGTAAAAAAAAATTGCAAGAAGGAAATATATATATATATTTATTGGTATAAGCGAAATCAATATAATTTTGACAAATTTTAAATAAAATTAAATTTGACTTGATAATAGACTTGACACTTTGACGGTTGACACAGATAGAATGAGATATTGCATCGCAAAAATGACATCTTGCTTGGATGTACAAAACCTTCATGTTCACGATGAAGCCCAATAAAGATTAGGTTAGGGCTATTGGGCTTGAGACGGTTACTATGGCCCACATCCAATTCTAGTTGTAATAGTTTGTGATTTGTAACAGACTTATCCAAGTATCAGTTAGCGTTGGGACAGCCCAATAGTTTTATTTATTTATTTATTATTATATTTTAAAAGAAATCAAATTAGCCATTAATATTAAATTAACCCGTTCATGTAATCATCAAATTTATATGACATCATATAAATATGCCGCGTCCAAACGAAAAAAAGAAAAAAAGAAAAAGAAAAAGGGTCGTTGACGAACCAAAAAAGAAAAAGAGAGAGAAGAATATACTGTAATCAACATTTCTTTCCAGTTCCAGTACTCATTTTGCCGCGAAATTATGAGTTTCTTCAATTGGGCCTTCTTGATTTTCATTCTTCCCTTCTTTGGTCCACTACCCACTTGCTCAGCTTCTTCTTTGAGCTCAAATGAACTCTCGGAAATCCCCAAAAATTTCCTCAGTTTTGCCAAAAACCCAGAGGTTTTTGATTGGATTGTGAGCATTAGGAGGAAGATACATGAGAATCCAGAACTGGGTTATGAGGAATTCGAGACCAGTAAGCTTATAACTTCAGAGCTTGATAAGATGGGTATTCCCTACAAACACCCAATTGCAGTCACTGGTACCATCGGCTTTATAGGTTCTGGAAAATCCCCTTTCGTCGCGATTCGGGCAGACATGGATGCTCTTCCTATGCAGGTTTCTTTAAATTTTAAATACTTTTTTCCTTTAATTTTTTAGCTTATTTTTTGATTTCATTTAATATATTAAGGTGTTTGTAATAGTGTCATCTGGTTAAATTGTTGCACATGTCTTGATGTTGAGTATGAATGATGAGTTCTTTTTTTTTTTAATCAGGTTTCTTATTATATTTTGTTTTCAATTTTTTGGCTTATGTTGTGAATGCTTAAATATATTAAGGGTGTTTATAATAGTGTCATTTTGTTAAGAATTTTCAGTACATGTCTTGAAGTTGAGTTTGAATGATAAGGTCTTTATTTTTATCAGGTTTATTTGATTTTAAGAATTTGTTTTCAATTTGTGGGCTTATGTTGTGAATGCATTTGATTATATTAACGGTGTTTGTAATAGTGAAATAATGGTGTTTGTCATAGTGTCAATTTGTTAAGAACTTGTACATGTCTTGATGTTGAGTGTGAATCATGAGGTCTTTATCGTTTATATTGTATAAATGAATTTAGGCAAGAGGGATTTTATGGGTATGAGTGTTTCTTTTGATTGAGGTTTGGGGAAGGGAGTCGGGAGATGTGCTTTCAAGTATTCTGAGGATGTTGTGATTTCATAGGAAATGGTGGAGTGGGAGCACAAGAGTAAAATTCCAGGAAAGATGCATGCTTGTGGGCACGATGGTCATGTTGCTATGCTTCTTGGTGCTGCGAAGATTCTTCAAGAGCATCGTGAACTATTACAGGTTCATTCTATGACTGCTCGCCGTTTTTCTGATGCATGTTATGTGGTTTAATTTGTTTACTATTCTTCATATGATGGTTGTTAACCTTCGTGTTCTTCAGACATTTGTCTTTGGATGCATGTCTTTTATTATTCTAATTGTGCAAATTAGTACAGAAACTGGACATTATCTTATAGCCATATCTAGGATTTGTAGGGCTGGGACAGAGGAATGAGAGTCCTTGGCAAGAGTTCTGGGTGGCAAGTGGAGCTCTACTCTAACCACCTGTTAGGGTTTGGCTAGGGGTGTGGCTTATTAATTGAAACTGGTTTGAGACAGTAGTAAAAAGTTTGAAGGATAGTGAGAAATGCAATATTTTGTCAAAGAGAGGTAGACTGCCACTGGCTATTGTTTAGCTTGCCACATTTTTATCCATTTTCAACATTCCTATGCTAGGGGCTGATTGTCTTGAGAATTCATACAGTACTTTCTTTTCGGTGGGAAATGTTTAGGCGATGATATCAAATATCAGTTCATGTACTTGGAGTTGGTTTGTTTTTCTATTAGTTCAATGGTTTCGGAATTTTAAAGCACACTTTTTTTTAGCAAAAAGTTTTTTGGGAAATGATTGTGGAGATATGAAGTGATCAGGGAGTTCCTGTAGCAGCAGTTGTTGTTTTGTAACTTGTAAGTTTTGGGAGGCTGGCTGTCTACAAGGGAAGGGAGCCTTATGAAATTGGGGGTTTGAAAGGCTAATAGAAGTCATAGGGATGAGTTCTCAAAGAATATTTGCTTATCAGAGGGAATATTGGACAGTACTACTGTGTCCCAGTACAGTTTTAGAAAGATGCATTGTTTTTGGAATCTACTCCCACAGCAGTTTTTTCTGAGGCTCTTCGCTATGACAGAGGGTATGGAGGCTTTACTTGCAGCATACCATTGGTGGTTTTAAGGTGTAATTCACTAGAATTTTATATTTTTAGTGCAAGACTGAAGCATGAATTGGTAGACGTTGTTGCTTTGATTTGCTTCACAGGGCTGGAATTTGTAAAGAGGTCAGGGATTCTGTGAGTTAAGTGGATTCTAAAAGTGGTAATTTTAGTTCATCTTCTAAAAGAATTCTCTTGGCATTGAGGGGGATTCATTGTTTGTGAGGAAAATTTTGAGAGTTCATTTCATCTGCAACCACATATGGTCTCACCTAGTGAAGCCACCCTTGTGTGGCATATCCAAAGCAGCTCACGAGTGATGCTTGTAGGCTTGTAGTCAAAACACCTGTAATGATCTTCACCATGCATGACCGATGCCTAGTACCATGTTCCAATCCTTACCAACTCAACGACCCAATTTCCCCCTTGGAGATAGAGAGATAATTGAAGTGGCAAATGCAGCCACCTATTGTGCTTATCATATTTGATCATTACTGGATCGAATTGGCCTCTATCCATGTTTGATTCATTAGATATAGGGTTTGATGGGTTAAAATCATAATCATGTTATTGGATCAACTCTTGCAGATAATTGGATTGGATTCAATTCAGGTCTAAATTAAAATCTGGTCCATTGATAGGCAAGTGTGCACATGGAAGAGGCAGGATCATAAGCTCAGCAGGCAAACAAAAGAAACATATTTTGCGGAAGTATATGTTATAAGAGAAAGTTTCAAAGTAGCTCCTTGTTCTCCATTATGATTTCTTTGGATTTAAATATTATCTAAGTTGTTTTCTGAAGTTGAATGATTGATGCGATAATTTTTAACCCAAAAATTAGGGATGTTGGAAGAAGTGTCTTTATTGCTCTGGGACTTGGACATGAATATGTAGATAGTAAGTTTTTATCATTGTGCCTAGCAATGACCCTAACATTCTTTACCTGAGAGGGCTGAATGAAATATTCTGTTGCTATTAGCGTTATAAAATTCTACACTCTGTGGAGGCTTGCTAGTGTGCATTTCTTGTGTTAGATCTTATTATTCCATTAATGTTGTTAGCAATTTAGACAAGCACACTTTTCACTTTCTCCCAACCGTAAGAGGTGCAAAATCTTAGGACTCTTCACATCTCATGGCCATCGTAAAAGGAAAATGAGAGGCTTTCATGATTTCAAAACAGCCTTCCAGAAAATATTACAAGCCTTACAAGGTACTAAAACACTACGATACTCCCAGTTACAAAAAAGATGCCATTACACCTGGTTTATATGCTTTTTTTAGAAGCTGGTTGTACAGTATGAATGTGGTGACTAATCAATAAATAAAGAACATATTTTACCAAGCGTCATAAAATAGATTAATCTTATTGCAATAATATAAACAGAGGGTTGTCACGATCATGGTTATTGACCATTGTATGAAGTTTAAGTGCATTCCAGATTTCTCTTTTCTTTGTCCTCCTTCCCTTTTTATTATTCTCCTTCCTTTTTTCAGTAGGTGTTGTTGCCCCTTACCTTATATTTGCTTGAATTGTCTCCTTTGTTACTTTTGGGTTCACTAGGGTACAGTTGTACTTGTTTTTCAACCAGCAGAGGAAGGAGGTGCAGGGGCAAAGAAAATGATCGATGCTGGAGTACTAGAGAATGTTGAAGCTATCTTTGGGCTGCATGTTGCTCCTGACTTACCTGTAGGTCAAGTGGACTCCAGACCTGGACCTCTTTTGGCTGCAAGTGGCTTTTTCGAAGCAGTGATTAGTGGAAGAGGAGGTCATGCAGCGATTCCTCAGCACTCAATAGACCCAATATTAGCAGCGTCAAATGTGATTGTCAGCTTGCAGCATCTTGTTTCACGAGAAGCTGATCCACTGGACTCTCAGGTACATTTTAATTTCAACTTACATTTGTTCTTTTTCTTTTTATATATTTTTTATTTGGGTGAAACTTTCAACCAATATTTTACTCTAGAATACCTGTTTTGGCTCTTTCATATAATTAATTAATCTGCCATTTTCAGATGTTGTCGAGGGAATGAATTGGAATTTCTGTTTCAGACTGTACTTGAGTTTTATTCCCTTGAATTATTTTTGTTTGTCACCATTGCCATTAGCTGCAAACCATATCAGTATACAGATTACAGAAGGGTTCTGCTCTCATGAGAGCAAGATGCTCCAAAATAGGTACCATTATTAGGTTTTCTGAGTAGTATCTGGCACTGCTGAACTGAGTTCAGCCTCAAGTTGTTCTTTCGTGGGATGTGCTCTAAGATTAGTCATTTTGGAAAAAGCACAGGACTTGCTTTTGTTTCTACATTTTCTTGGAGTTCAGACTTTTCTGAGTCATGAAGAATCACGTATTCTTTCTAACAATCCTATGGTCCTGTTCCAAAATATACACTTGCAGGTGGTAACAGTCGCAAAATTCCAAGGAGGTGGTGCATTCAATGTTATTCCAGATTCTGTTACCATTGGTGGCACCTTCCGAGCCTTCTCAAAGGAAAGCATGATGCAACTTAGGCAGCGAATTGAGGAGGTAGCATTTAGACGATGTTAGCAACTTTTATGACAATTATTAAATTACCAAATAATTTTGAATTATCCTCAGTATATTTGTGAAGCATTGAATTTAATTTGTCACTAAAAGGTTCATTTCTAAGTCAGTCAGAAATATTAGTGTAAATGATTCAAAAATCATAAAAGCTTATATATAACCTCGGAGAAACCAAAACACCTATTTGCTTATGCGTTTGGTAATACACTTCTTTCTCATGTCGTAACATTTTTCGATCTCTATCAGCATTATTCTTTAAATTCTTTCTGGATATTAGAATTTTCAACCTGTTCTATTAACGTTATTTTCGATTCACTCAATAAATTTCCCTATTTTGTACTTTTCACAAGCTAATTATCTTCACTTGCAGGTAATAATAAGGCAAGCCGCTGTACAAAGGTGCAATGCAAGTGTTAATTTCCTGGAAAAGGAGAACCCGATCTTGCCTGCTACCATAAATGACAAAGGGTTGCATAAATACTTTCGAAATGTTGCAGGAGATATGCTCGGCATTGCTAATGTTAAAGACATGCAACCATTCATGGGGTCTGAGGATTTTTCGTTTTACCAAGAGGTGATACCCGGTTACTTCTCCTTCCTTGGAATGAAGAATGAAACAAAGGGAAAGACTGCATCACTGCACTCTCCCTACTTCAAAATCAATGAAGAATCACTACCTTATGGAGCTGCACTTCACGCGTCATTGGCTGCTAGGTATTTTCTTGAATTCCAACCCGAAACTCCTTTGATGAATGAGAAACATCACGATGAACTTTAAGGTGCTTCTTGATAACCAATATGGACTTGAACTGGTCATTTTGCCACACCAATTTCTTGGGGTATTGTATTGTGTTTTGGTGAGTGAGAAACATCATTAGCCTTTTAATGGTTTTTGTTGAATAGAGAGTTCAAAACTTGTTGAAAACAAATGCTTTATTTGTTGGTTTTGAGGATTGGTGTTGGTATTTGAAGGAAGCAATCCAAGTGGTTGCATAGGCATGACTTGGACTACATCAGTGGTGACATGATAATGTAACTGTGTAACTGGTTGTATTAGGTGATCCTCCTAAATCATCCAAAACAACAGAAGTTGACACTAATGGTTAATAGAGAATGGGAATTAAGAGCCCTAATTTGATGGGGCTTTGTCCATGGATGAAAATTTGCAACATTTTCTCATTCTGTTAGAAGCATTTTTCGTTTTGTATGAGTAAAGATTATTTAGCTATCTAGCTAGGACAACAGATTTAATGCTTTATAGTAAACACAAGGTGGCATAGTGATATTTCCTCTCATTTCATTTTGGAAGGCCAAGGGTTGAATCTCCCCTACTGTACAGTGGGAATTAATTGGCAGGATAAAAAATAGGGGTTAAGTGCAAAAAAACTCTTCTAAATTATTGCCCTTTCGCAAATAACCTCCCTAAACTAAAAACCGCCCCCTGAACTATTGATTTGTTGCAATAAAGGACAAATTCATCACAAAAGACTATTTTATTTTAACTTTCTCATTAAAATTTTTATTTCTTATTAAATTATTTTTATTATCTTTTCTCTTATGTAAATATTAATTATACTATTTACCTTAATTTTATTTTTAGTATTAATTTATCATAAAAATGAAAAAAATATATATATAGATTTGTAAGTTGTAACTACTATTTTCTAAATTGATTAACTTATTATTAAAACTTTATTACTTATAATAAAACGTATTATAAACCAATTTAAACATTTTTATAGTAAACAAATATCATTTTTTTCATAAAATATATTGATGAAAATTTAATAAAATACTTTTGAAAAAAATACCTTCTTTTCATGTAATATATTCATTAAAAATTTTAAAATTAATTAATTTTTTAAAAAAATATATACGAAATTTTTTTATTTAAATAATTAATTAAAAAACTAAATGTCAATTTATGCAAATTTAATGAAAAATATCTCATCAAATTAGTATAATCTTTCTCATAATTTATTTAGATAAGAAAAATATATTAAATATAATTCAATAAGAAGGGGGCATTATGGTCATTTAATGAAATATAGTATAGTCTTTAGGGTATGTTACAATAAAATGAGATAGTTTAGGGGGTTTTATGCACAAAATATAGTTCAAGGGGGTTATTTACAAATTCAACGTAGTTTAAGGGGTTTTTTTTTGCACTTTACCTTAACAAATAGAATACCGTTATTTATCCCAATAAATAAAAACCTACTATTTCATCGAGTTTATGTGGCTATGTGTTAAATATAATGAAACTCATTTTAAAATATAAAGTAATTAACTATTTGGAAAATTATAGTCCATTTTTTAGGTTTTATCTTAATATATTATCTTTATTGGCGATTAAAGTTTCAATCACCGTGTATATTAAATTGTATATGTTTTTCAATCATCGTATATATCAAATTATATATGTATTTTATATATACTTCACATTGCATCTCTCTAAGGCATAAATATTTAAGATTGAATATCTTATATATAATTAGATACACATTTGTTCATTACTATAATGATTAAAACTAATAATTTATGTGACTCTATAAACAAAAACAAAAAGAAGGAAACTGAAAATATAAGGAAATGAGTTATGAAAAACTGAAAAAAAAAAATTGTAGTATTTTATAGAAACAAATAAGAATAGTAATGATGTTTATTTAAGTTGAAATTTTATAATTACTCGGCATATTTGGTTTTAATGTCAGGTGTCAAAGTTGTCAATAATATTATTTTTTTAGCAAAAAAAAAAAAAAGAAAAAAAAAATAGTTATTAAAAAAAGTTTTAATTATTGAATGACCAAAATTAAATGAGAATAAATAACTTCATTAAAGTATATGACTAGACATATCTGCGCTTCATTCTCAGATGTGTCATTTAAGCACGTGTACAATTCAAATTATGCACGCGAGGTTAGAATATAACATTCCTCATTTCTAAAAGGGCCATGAGTCGTGAAAGAACAAATAACAATTGCAGGAAAACGAAGGAATATAAAAGAAAGAAAAATAAAGACGGAGATTGACTATATACTCCGATCTTGCTTCAACAGAATCACCTCAAAATTTATCTCACATGGTTTGACCACAACCGACAGTTCTTCGAGTTTCAAAATTCAGTTTACAGAAAAGCTATGAGTTTCTTCAATTGGGTATTACTGATTTTCACTCTTCCCTTGTTTGGTCCACTACCCACTTTCTCAGCTTCTTCTTTGAGCTCAAATGAACTCTCTGAAATCCCCAAAAATTTCCTCACTTTTGCCAAGAAACCAGAGGTGTCTGATTGGATTGTGAGTATTAGGAGGAAGATACATGAGAATCCGGAACTGGGTTACGAGGAATTCGAGACTAGTAAGCTTGTAATGGCAGAGCTTGATAAGATGGGTATTCCCTACAAACACCCAATTGCAGTTACTGGTATCATCGGCTTTATCGGTTCTGGGAAACCCCCTTTCGTAGCGATTCGGGCAGACATGGATGCTCTTGCTATGCAGGTTTCTTTAGATTTTAAGATTTTTTTCTTCAATATTTTGGCTTATGTTTTGATTTCATTTAATATATTAAGGGTGCTTGTAATATTGTCATTTTGTTTAGAATTGGCCTGCATGTCTTGCTGTTGAGTCTGAATAATGGGGTCTTTATTGTTAGCAGGTTTCTTTAAATTTTAAGAATTTGTTATCAATTTTTTTGACCCATGTTGTGAATGGATTTAGTTATATTAAGGGTGTTTGTAATAGTGTCATTTTGATAAGAATTTGCAGTACATGTCTTGATGTTGAGTGTAAATGATGAGCTTTCATTGTTTCTATTGTATAAATGAATTTAGGCAAGAGGGATTATATTGGTATGAGTGTTTCTTTTGATTAAGGTTTTGGAAGGGATTTAGGAGATTTGATTTCGAGTATACTGAGGATGTTGTGATTTCATAGGAAATGGTGGAGTGGGAGCACAAGAGTAAAATTCCAGGAAAGATGCATGCTTGTGGGCACGATGGTCATGTTGCAATGCTTCTTGGTGCTGCGAAGATTCTTCAAGAGCATCGTGAACTATTACAGGTTCATTTTATGATTGCTTGCCATTTTTCTGATACATGTTATGTGGTGTAATTTGTTTACTATTCTTCATATGATGGTTGCTAATCTTCGTGTTTTTTGGGCATTTGTCTTTGGATGCATGTCTCTTATTATTCTAATTGTGCAAGCTAGTACAGAAACTGGACGTTATCTTATAGCCATATCTATGATTCGGAGCGAGAAATGGGAGTGCTGGGCAAGAGTTCTGGGCTACAAGTGGAGCTCTATTCTAACCACCTGTTTGCGTTTGGCTTATTAATTAAAACTGGTTTGAAACAGGTGTCAAAAGTTTGAAGGAGGTTGGCTAGTGAGTAATGTAATATGTTGTTAAAGAGAGGTAGACTGCCACTGAATGTTGTTTAGTTTGCCCTCATTTTAATCCAATTTTAGCATTCCTATGTTAGTGGCTGATTGTCTTGAGAACTTATACAGAACTTTCTTTTCGGTGGGAGATGTGTAGGTGGTGATTTCATGTACTAGGAGTTGATTGGTTTTACGATTAGTGTAAGGGTTTTGGAATTGTAAAACACACTTTTGTTAACAAAAAACTTTTTAGGAAATAATTGCGCAGATATGAAGTGAACTGGATGTTCCTGTGGTGACAGTTGTTGTCTTGTAACTTGTAAGTTTTGGGAGGCTGGTTGTCTACATAGGTAGAGGGCCTTATGAATTGCGGGTCTGAAAAGCTACCAGAAGTCGCATAATGAGTTTGAATATTTGCTTTTTCAGAGGGAAAGTGTAGGAGAGTACCGTTTTAGATTGATGCATTGCGTGTGGAATCTACTTCCTGGGCAGTTTTTCTGGGCCTCTTCACTATTACAGAGGGTATAGAGGCTTTACTTGCGGCATTCCGTTGGTACTTTTTAAGGCGTATAATTCACTAGGATTGTATATTTTTTAGCAGTGCAAGACTGAAGCATGAATTGGTAGAAGTTTTGTTTCTTTGATTTCCGTCACAGGGATGGAATTCGCAAAGAGGTCAGGGATTCTGTGAAGTGGAGGCATCTAGAAGTGGTAATTTTAGTTCATCTTCTAAAAGAATTCTCTTGGCATTGAGAGGGAGTTATTTTTTATGAGAAAAAATTTGAGAGTTCATTTCATCTGCAACCACACATGGTCTCACCTAGCGAAGCCACCCTTGTGGCATTTCCAAAGCACCTCACGAGTGATCCGTCGTAGGCTTGTAGCCAAAACACCTGCAGTGATCTTCACCATGGATTACCGATGCCTGGTACAGTGGTACCGCATTCAAATCCTTACCATCTCGACCCAATTGCTCCCATGGGGCTATAGAGATAATTGAAATGGCAAATGCAGCCACCTATTATGCTTGTTGTATTTGGTCATTATTGGATCGGATTGGCCTCTATCCTTGTTTGATTCATTAGTTATAGGGTTTGATGGATTCAGATCATTTTCAGGTTATTGAAGCAACTCTTGCTGATAATTGGATTGGATCAGTTCAGATTTAAATTAAAATCTGGTCTATTGATAGCGCAAGTGTGCACATGTAAGAGGCAGGATCATAAGCTCATTAGGAAAACAAAAGAAAAATATTTGGTGGAAGTGTATGTTATAAGAGAGAGTTTTCGAAGTAGTTCCTAGTTCTCCATTATGGTTTCAATGGATTTAAATATTTCAAAGTTGTTTTCTAAAGTTGAAAGATCAATATGTTAATTTTTAACCCCAAAATTACAGGTGTTGGAAGAAGTGGATTGGGTATATACACCACCTTTAGTGCTCTGTGACTTGGACATGAATATATAGACAGTCCAAGTTTTTACCATTGCACCTTGCAAGTTGCACTGACCCTAACATTTTTTACTTTAGAGGTGCAGAATGAATATTCCATTGCTATTAGCCTTATAAAATTCTACACTCTCTGTGGAGGCTTGCTAGTATTCTTTTCTTGTGTTAGAGCTTATTATTCCATTAATGTTGTTAGCGATCTAGACAAGCACACTTTTCAATATCTTCTAGCCTTAAGAGATGCAAAATCTTAGGACTCTTCACATCTCATACTTATAAAATAAGTGGCTTACATGCTTTCAAAACTGACTTCCAGAAAATATTACAAGCCCTACAAGGTACTAAAACACTACGATACTCCCAATTACAAAAAGATGCCTTTAAACCTGGTTTGTATGCCTTCTTTATAAGGTGGTTGTACATTATGAATGTATCGACTAGTCAATAAATAAACCACAGATTTTACCTAGCGTCATAAAATAGATTGATCTTATTGCAATTATATAAATAGAGACTTGTCACAATGATGGTTATTGGCCTTTATGTGAAGTTTAAGTGCATTCTAGATTTCTCTTTTCTTCATCCTCCTTCCCCTTTTATTATTCTCCTTTCTTTCTTATTTTTCGGTAGGCGTCGTTGTGCCTTATCTTATATATCCTTAAATTGTTTCCTTTGTTACTTTTGAGTTCACTAGGGAACAGTTGTACTTGTTTTTCAACCAGCAGAGGAAGGAGGTGCAGGGGCAAAGAAAATGATCGATGCTGGAGTACTAGAGAATGTTGAAGCTATCTTTGGGCTGCATGTTGCTCCCAAATTACCTGTAGGCCAAGTGGCATCCAAACCTGGACCTCTTTTGGCTGCGAGTGGTGTTTTCGAAGCAGTGATTAGTGGAAGGGGAGGTCATGCAGCTATTCCTCAGCACTCAATAGACCCAATATTAGCAGCTTCAAACGTGATTGTCAGCTTACAGCTTCTTGTTTCACGAGAAGCTGATCCACTGGACTCTCAGGTACATTTTAATTTTCAACTTACATTTTATTTTTATTTTTTATTTTTTTGGGGCTTAAATTAAGAAGTGCTGTAGCTGAAACTTTCAACCACTATTACTCTAGAATACCTGTTTTTCCTCTTTCATATATTTAATCTGTCATTTTCAAATGTTGTAAAGAGAATGAACTGGCATTTTATATAATTAATCTGCAAATCATATCAATATACAGAAGGGTGCTGCTGTCATGAGAGCAAGATGCAAAAGAGGTACCATTATTAGGTTTTCTGAGTAGTGACTGGCACTGCCGAACTGAATTTGGCCTCTAAGTTGGTCCCTTTGACTTCTTTCATGGGATGTGCTCTAAGATTGTCTTTTTGAAAAAACAAAGGACATTTACTTGCTTCTGTTTCTACATTTCTTGGAGTTCTGACTTTTCTCAGTTATGAAGAATCATTTATTCCTTCTAACAATCCTATGGCCCCGCTCTAAAATATATACACTTTCAGGTAGTAACAGTTGCTAAATTCCAAGGAGGTGGTGCATTCAATGTTATTCCAGATTCTGTTACCATTGGCGGCACATTCCGAGCCTTCTCAAAGGAAAGCATGATGCATCTCAGGCAACGAATTGAGGAGGTAACATTAGACGATGTTAGCAACTTTTATGACAATTCTTAAATTACTAGATATTTTTTATTTTCCCCAATATTTTCGGGTTTTGCATTTCTAAGTTAGTGAGAAATATTCGTATAAATGATTCGAAAATCACTTAAAGCTTATATATAACCTTGGACAAACCAAAACACCTATTTGCTGCTTCTTTTCTTCTTTTTCTTCTTTCTTCATTTTTTTTTTTTTTTTCCCTAAATACACCGCAAAATCAAGTCATAACAATTTTCATTTTCTATGGACATTATTCTTTAAATTCTTTCTGGATATTATAATTTTCAACCTTTTCTATGAACATTATTTTGTATTCACCCAATTAATTTCCTTATTTTTTACTTTACACAAGCTAGTTCTCTTCACTTACAGGTAATAATACAGCAAGCCGCTGTACAAAGGTGCAATGCAAGTGTTAATTTCCTGGAAAAGGAGCAACCGATCTTCCCTGCTACCATAAATGACAAGGGGTTGCATGAATACTTTCGAAATGTTGCAGGAGATATGCTTGGCGTTGCTAATGTTAAAGACATGCCATCATTGATGGGGTCTGAGGATTTTTCATTTTACCAAGAGGTGATACCCGGTTATTTCTCCTTCCTTGGAATGAAGAATGAAACAAAGGGAAAGCTCGCATCACCGCACTCTCCCTACTTCAAAATCAATGAAGAATCACTACCTTATGGAGCTGCACTTCACGCGTCGTTGGCTGCTAGGTATCTTCTTGAATTCAGACCCGAAACTCCTTCGGTGAATGAGAAACATCATGATGAACTTTAAGGCGCTTCTTGAATTTCTTGATGAGCAATATGGACCTGAATTGGTCATTGTGCCACCCCAATTTCATGGGGTATTGTGTTCGGCACTTCTATCTTGCTTCAGTTGCAAATGTAATATCTTATCGGTAAATTCATATCATCAAGAACTGATTCATATCTATCAAATTATCAATAACAAAGAAACTATTAGTACTTCTTAGCATTTCTAGCTGTCCCTACATTTTTCATTTTATAGCAAGAAAATTGTTGCTTGTGGGTAATCTGATCATAAGAAAGTTTGTAAGTCTTAAACTTATGCGATTCCTTTTATCAGGGGGTTTTGGGAGAGGAATATTAGGTGTGTGTGTGTCTATATATATATATATATATATATATAATTTTAACCCGCCTTATTGCACTTACCATTGTACGAAGCATTTTTTTGTTTTTGTTTTTGTTTTTCCCTCTTAGGGTTTTATGATTCCAGTGCATCAGATCTTGAATTTAAGAAAGATTCAAAGCTTAAAAATAGTGAGTGCCAAGCATTTTTCCCAGTTGGTATAACAAGTTTTCTTGAAGTGAGATATGGTTGGTATAAAGCCCAGAATGTAAGAGAAAAAGTCCACTAGTATATGTTTATGCAAATACAGAAATTTTAAAGCAGTTAGCCAACCGAACCATACCCTTGACAATTTTTTTAGGAATCAGCCTAAAACTAGCTTGTAAATCCACATTCTATTAGTATTATTATTTTTAAAGTTTTAAAAAAATATATTAAAATTTGGGAGCCCATTTTTTGATGTGACAAGATATTGATTGTCCATCAAATTCATTGATAGTATTTCTTATCGAAGAATAATAGGAAGGGGAATATTTTTTTTGATGTTACAGGTAGGGTTGTTGTTGCTTGGTAAAAGTTCAAATTTGAGATTAGTTACTATTTTACCAAAAATAAATAAAAAAATCATATTTACTACTTCGGCATGCCAATTATTCTTTTTTACCTTTTTTACTACTAATATTAACTTTTGGCATAGCTGCAGGAGATGTCTCTCTCATCAATTATTTTCTCTTGAAAAAATAACTTATTATATGTTAAAGAAAAAATTATATAATCGTAAGGAGCACCAAATGACAAATGTCATGTTATCAATAATTCAACTCTCTCTCTCTCTCTCACACACACACACACACACGCACACAGTATTGGTCCCCAAGAGGACATCCGAGATGGTCGGCGGCCATACCCTTAAAAGTAGACTTGTTGCTATCTCCATTTCTTGTCTGTACCCAAATTAAAAATAAATAAATAAGCAAAGAAAATATGTATTCATGAAGACTACTACTACTTGAAAACTAGTAATAACTAATGTCTTTATTAAAATTCAATTATTATATAACAATCTTAAATCATATGTGATGCTCAGTGCTTTAAATACTATTATCAGTCAATTATTGATGGCCCGGAGTTGCTGGCTGTATGTGTTCAATTGATGCTATGTATTGAGTTTAAGTACTGAAATACTGATATTACTATAATATCTTCATTTATTTGAATTTAATATATAATTAGATGATGTTAGACTCTAAATCCTACAAAAAAGGAAAAGAACATATATAGACACGATCATTGCTAACCGGTACTTTAATGCCAATTCACATATCATGAGGAATGACGATGGACTCTATATTACCTATTTTAGTTTTTATCAATTACAATATAGTACTTCAAAAGTAATGGTGACATTATAGTTGACATTGTTGCAAGTACTATATATAAACATGAGAATAAGCGTGACATTAAATTTATGCTGTCTCAAACTAGTAATTGGGCAGTTGGATGTCTCCGGGGTATGGTGGTGTAGGTAGGAATTCGGGAGGTAAGTTCTTGAGGTTGTGTTTTTAAATTGCACTCCTGAGTTAAATGATGCGTGTATTATGAGGCCGCTACACGTGTTCTAAAAAATAAAATAAAATAAAAATTGGGCAGTAGTATATTCTCTTCAAGAAGCCAACAAAGCTGTCTATGTTTTGGCCGCCCACATTTTTCTCATGATTTATGTGATGAGGATATTGAGAATCTCCCTTACTTAACATTGAAAGTTTTATCCAATTGTACTTCTGTCGAAGTTTAATGATATACCAACGGACTAGTGGTCTAGCGGTATCAGACCTTTACTTTTCAAAGGGAGGTCAATGGTTCAAGCCTCTGTAGAGATATGTGTGTGTGAGTATTAACTATGAAAAAAAAAAATTTAATGATATTATCTTCTCTTTGTCAATATATATATATATATATATATATATATGTCATTTGTCAGGTTGGAAAAAAAACAAAACAGGAAACAAAGAAAAAGAGGACAAACGTGAATTATACTACTATATCTTAATCCATATATCATTCTTCTTCCCTAAGTACATTCTCCAATCTCCTCCACCAAAAATTTGGCAGCATTTAGGGGGCTTTTGGAACTTATAATTTTTAACTTTTTTTTTCTTCTCCTTACAGTGTCTATACGAGTTAAGATCTTTAGAGTTGAGACCCAGAGTCGTCAAGACAAAGACAAAGACAAACAGATAATGACCTTGTTTTCAAAACGCGTTGTAGACTCTAGAGTCCATTGAAGTTAAGATCTTTAGACTGGAGATCCAAAGCCGCCAAGACAAAGAAAAACAGGTAATAACGTTGTTTGCAAAACGCGTTGTAGAGTCATTATCTGGTGCAATAGTAAAAGCAAGACAATATTGAAAGCTAGGATCAAGAATAACAATAGCGTTTACCAATTGTTGCATTGGATTAAAGTAGTTTCACTAGAAAAATGGGGAAATTTTCCACATAAGGAACTAAAATTCACACACAATCCAAAAGAAATGCTTCAAAGCATTAGCAAAGCCACACCAAGTAATTCCAGATGATTGGCAAACAATACAATTATTATATGACATGTAAAGCAAGCAAATTAGAACATTTCCTTTGGCATAAAGAGAAGATATTGAATTTTTCTTTTCAGTCATAGATTCAAATCCAACTACAAATCACTAACAAATTTGAACAACACTTGGTATCAGTAAAAGTATTTTTAGAAATCAGTTCATGGAAAGAACTCACCAAGTTCACATCCTCTGTTTGGGTAAAAGTCATAAAATCTACAGAATCAAATCGACTCCTGTTTTTTACACAATAAATATAGTTTTCATCTGGGAAAATTAGAATTCTTCTCCAGTTGAAAAATCAATCTCTATATCGCGAGTCGATTGTATCATTCGTGTTGCTGTGTTCTCCCTCTACTCCTTTGGATGATCCAATGCCAATGGGAAATTGGCAGACTTCCATTTGCAAATCCTCATCTTCTTCACTAAAATGTAATATGTCAGCAACCGAAAGCTGTCCTCTGCTCGAAAATGAGCTTAATGAAACCGATCTTCCAAATTGCCCAATATCTGTTATGTTCTGATCTCTCACTTCAGAATTCTGCACATCACTGTTGGATCGAAACGACGTCTTTGGAGTAGCATCACTCCCAAGACTAACAACCACCTCTTCTCGACCCCTTTCTTGATCATCAACCACCAAAACCACATCATTCTGGCGCTGGATTTGGAGGGAAGAGATGTTCAGATTCGAAGAAATTTGTGAGCTTGCTGCCGGCAAAGGCTGTGGATTAGTAGGTGCAACGTTGGACCGGCACAGAGGGCAATTCGAGTGGGACTTCAACCATGTGTCAATGCAGGGGAGGTGAAAGGCATGGCTGCACTTTGGCAATAGCCTCAGAGAGTCGTCTTCTTGAAACTCACTGAGACAAACCGCGCATTCGCTCCCTTCAACCAACCCTTCTCCTTTCTTGTACTTGCAGACTTTGATGGACTTGATGAGGGTCTCATCCAAACCAGCTGAAGCCACCTGCCATTGGTCTGGATTGGCTTGGTCGCGATTCGCGGCAAGCTCTGCACTTGTGTTGCTTTGATCGCCTCTTCTTTTGCAGTACTTGGAGATGATGGTGTAGTAGCTTATCAAGAGGAAAGCGCTGGCCAAGATGCCGATGATTGCTATGATGAGGGGGGAGAAATTGGTGCCTGAATCACCGTCATCTGGTGGACCAAATGGAGGGGGAGGTGGGAAGATCATGTAGCACCATTGTGGACAATATATGCTGCAGATTCCTTGTGAGCAATCCTTGTAACTATCATATGGTGCCCAAGTGTTTTGGTTGCCTACTGAACCCATGCTCAATCTGTGTCTCACACCGCTACTAGAATTAATTAACTTGCTACAGCCTGGATCCTGTCTATGTATTCCTAGAGAGAGAGGAGAGAGAAAGAGAGAGAGAGAATCCAAGGGGGGCTTAGAAGGGAAGGGAAGCAAAGTGAAGACGCAATGAGGTGGGGGTTGATATGTCTGATTCATGTTCTCTGGGCCTTACTTTTGCTTTCTCATCTTTTATCTCTCTCTCTCTTTTCTTTTCTTTTTTTTTGTCTTTTTCTTTTTATTTTTTCTTCTTTTTTTTCTTCTATTTCTTTTTATTTTGTTGGCTTTACTTTAGCATTTCTTCACTGTGATATGATGATTTATTGACCATGAAAGATGGTGTTAGGTTGGGTTTTTGTTGAAAGTGATTAATCAACCCCCAAGTACCCTTCAAGTTAGCTGAAGGGGTGTTAGCATATGGAGTGCACCTCACTTCCAAGGCTAATTCAATCAATGGTGGCTTGCCACACTAAGCAAAAGCGAAATGGATACTAGATGGTTCTGATCTATTAACAATTGGCGTATCAGTAAGATTTAGACTTTCAGATTGAAAAAATAATCGTGTATTAAAATAATACAAATAAATCTCAACATTATCTTTCATTGGATTAGTCTATAAGTATCTAATGGATCATGACCGTTTAATAATTCCTCTCAACTAAGGGTAGGTATAATATTGAGCAAGTCATGTCAATTTTGTGACGTGGCGGAAATTTATTCTTCAATTTGGTATGTAACATGGAGGCTTCTGCATAGGATCATAACCAAGTGAACATATTATAAGGCATTACCCTTGTTTAGAATGAAAGGTAGCTAAGAAGGAGAATACATACAGCTAACCCAAGAAACAAGTTTGAGTTAAAAAAAAAAAAAAAAAAAAAAAAAAAAAATGGTTTAAATTATACTATGGTGTCATGTTTGTTGCAACTTCCAAGAGTTTAGAAAACCGAAACATTTTTAATAATCAAACTTGAAGTTTACATGAACAGTAGTATTATTAAAGTCACTAGATTTGGAAAAATCTTGCTTTGGGTGTATTAAATTTATTTTAATTAAAGAGTAATTTCCACAAACACTTATAATCATGTGCAAAAACACATGTTTTGGAATAAATCAAATAGTTCAATTTGAGACTAATGGTTCTGAGATCTTGTTCTTTTAATGTGTGTTTGGTTGAATGGAATTGTAATAGGTGGAATTTTAAAAAAACAACTAAGAAAATTAAACTAATATTTTCTCAAATTTCAATTCCAAGACTTTCCATTCCATGCAGCAATCACACCCTTAATACATTTTAACTGTAATCTCCTCTTAAAAGAAGTATTGAGAGTTTGATTTCACAAGAATACAAATGAGAATGTGTGATTTACCTACTTGAAGGAGCAGAAAAGAAAAGAAAAGAAAAGGTTATGAAGATTAGGGAATAAAGATAACTATATGAACAACCGTTTTTGTTTTTAACTTTTTACTTTGAAATATAGTAGTAAATGAGAATAATTAGACAGTTGTAATTATATATAAATTATAAATTGATCTTAAGAGTAAAATATATTTCATTGACCTTTAAGCGGTTCGAGTGGTATAATGGACAAATCTAAATGTGTGGGTGAGTATTTACTTAATTCAAAAAAAAAAAAAAAATTCCTTAAATAGGGACTTATAAACAATGATAAATTATGATAAATAGTTCTTGTTCTTATGTAATTTTCCGAATTGTTTTTATCATATTTAAAAATTTCAACCAAAATTTGAGTATTCTAAACTCACTTAAATGAACTAAAAGTTTCAAACCCAATACTAATATACTCCGCAATTTGTATACAATAATGGGCCTAATTGAAAAAATCGACATACCTTTTCCTATATTTTACAAAACATGGATTGGGCTCAAAATTTGGATCAAGGTTAAACCACTAACAGGCCCATTTTCAGGTCCCTCTATCCCCATCTTCCTCACTCACACCAGTCACCACAAAACACAGCGAGGGACTTGCGTGCAAGCCACGTGCGTCGCTTCCGTCGGACCATCACATAGCTTTACAATTACCACTTTCGAGATAGAAAATGAGCTCGTCCCTCGAAACCCATAATCTAGCAGCTGAAACTCTGGTATTTGCCTTTGAACTCTCTCTGTCTTTTCTTCAATTACTGTTGTCTGTTGCTTTGTTTTGATTTTTAAGTTATTTCAACATATATATATATATTGATGTCTGTGTGTGTATTTGTTTAAACGTATGCATGTGTTTCTTTGTGGGTCAGTTCAATTTGGACGCTTAATTGGTAATTGATTGTGTGTTTGAACTTTGAATGTCCTAGATTTTTTTTTTTGGGGGTATTGAGCATGGTGAAATTTCTCTCACTTCTCAATGTTTCTGTAGCTATGTAATTACCCCACATGTTTTTTCCTTTTATCTGTTCCATTCGGTTAAGTGATGCTTTATATATGCTTCCGATAATTGTGTTTTACCTATCATTAACGTGCTTATTCGCATTAAGTCCGAGGAATGTGTATTGAATTAATGAATTAGGAATACATTAGTACTCCCAAGTGTTTTGATAGTGCCTGTGTAATTTAGCGATTTCAGAGTGAATATTTTCAACATGTAATCTGTAGGAGTGCAATTTGGTAAATTTAAGTTAGACTTGAAGATGGATCAACTTAATTGATTTTGAAAAATTTCTGTTTAACTCCCTTTTTCTTATTGTTCTGCTAATGGATATACAAGATTAAAGCCGTAATATTTCTAAATTTTTCCCTGTATTTGCCCATTTTATCAGATGACATTTATATCAGCAGGTCCTTTTCTTAAAACAAAATTCAATCTCTAATCATCTGAGTCCTGGTATATTGTAATTGGTTCTTGTTGAATTCACCAGAAGGAGTCCAGAAGAATTGGGCATGTCAAAGGGAAGAAGAACATCCAGAAGAATTGTGAGAATATTGTCATTTCTTATAATGTAATGACTAATGACCCTCAAGGTATGTTTGGGAGCGTGGAATGGTTGTCTTTGAATTGGAATGGGAGGAAAATTAGTTCAGACTTTAAATGTTTTCCTTCAATTTCAATTCCAATGCATCGATTCTATGCTATCAAACTCAAAATTGATAGAGTAGCGTGGAGAAGGACTAGTGACGCTGAAGGGCACAAACGAAATGATAGATATTTTTCTTTTAATAACACAATTGCGGTCCTTGTCAGTCTATTGAATGCATACCGTTAACATGAAGTCATTTTTTATTTTTATCATCGAAAGAACTCAATGCTATTCTCTTGCTTCTTTTACATCTATATATATTTATTTGTTTGTCTTGGTAACTTTTTATCAGGGATCAGCTGTGAAAGTTGAATTTGGTGAGATCACTGATATGCTAGATGTACCGAATGCCGTGTCAGATCGTCAATCACTTCCTCTTAAATATATACAACCACTAATTCATGTAACAACAACACCAAGCAGGGTCTCAGCTCATCTCATTGATGGACATTCAACATTGAGGTTCAAAATGATTGTTGATTCACTTATCAAAAAAAAAAAATGATTGTTGATTCCTTTACCATCTTATTATACATTCTTTTTACATAAAAAGCAGAGAGTCCATTGTAATTAAGTCATATATTTTGAAGAATAACGTGTAATTTTGAGCTAATTCATTTTTACAATAAATCTTCACCTGCATAATGCCATTTTGTCCTTTATTATTACAGTGTATGCCATCTTTTTAATTGTCAGAGATGATGTTTTACTTCGATTATGAACTAAAGAATTCTTGTGTAATAGAAGGACCAATATTCATTCACAAAGTTGTATCCATATTTTTCATCTTTCAAATGTCAAAATAGGGTTTTTTTTGGCTCTTTAGTTGGCTTCAATACTTTATTGAACACATCATTGATAAACTTTAAATTTACTGTTTTACTTACAGATCTTGAACACAATATAATTGCATGAGTGGAGAATAATACCCTAAAATTGTAGCACATAATGGTTCCTTAAGAGGATATTAAATTCCAAAACCAGTCACTCCACTTTTCTCTGGTAATGAATATAATGTGATATAAACAAGTTACTAAAGATGTATGGTTTCTTAAATGCTGCTTTTTGATACCGCTTCTTGTGCAAAGGTCCCCCAAACTCCCATATACATTTATGTTATTATGTTTTCAAGTGGTTATCACATTCTACAAATTTATGAACTTTGTTTTTTCTATTATTTTTAAGAGTAATTATTATTCTTTTCGTATTCTCTTCGCTTCAGTTTGTCAATATTATTTTGTGCTTGATCTTAAGCTTTGCCCTCATTTCTTCTTACAAACTGCTGCGTGGAACTTGTTCAGGGTGTACATCAACATGACTACATCAGCTTTAATTTGTTTCTATTGTCAATTCAAACTTTGTCTTTGCTCTATCCTGATTGAAATGAAAAGGGATATTGAAAATTTATGATTTCATTGTTGTGGGAACACTAATTCTTGGTTTGATTGCATAAAATAAAGAGGGAAATGAATGAAAATTCTTAAAGCAAAATGATAGAACGTGAACATTTTCCTTAATAACAGAATTGAAAAATAATATGAGAAACTCGCTATCCTTAATTTAGTGTTGACTCATTTATTAGATTGACACGGGACCATTGTTTGGTGCTGGTAAAATGCTTGGGTAGTCAAGCGTGAGAACGCGAGTTTGACTCCTGAAAGCAACCGCTTTGTGCAAATAACGCCAAAGCTTTCTAGCACCCCGCTTACCGATGACCACAATGGGTAATGGCTGTTCATTTATTAGATTGATGCACATTTCTGGTGTATATTTGGTTTTATGGGTATCATTATCTTGCCTTTATAGCTGCAAATTTATTTGTTTAGTGTTTCATAACAGTATGCTGAATCAAGATGATGAACTTTTGACGGACGCTATCTACCACAATACGGAGTCATCCCCATTTAAGGAACCAGACACTCTTAGGAAGGCAATTAGTTCATGTTCACAAGGAGATGACTACATTGAGAAGATAAAGGATTTGCAGGTCTATCTTGACTTGGTAGAGCTTCAACTACCAAATTCTCCCTTCTTCACATCTCTTTCCTTACTTTCAGTTTTACTTTGTGTTCGATATAGGCCATGGTACACAGTTGTGCCATATCCGAGCCTCTGCATAGAAGCCAAGAAGACAATAGAAATTATTGTTTCCAGGTTGATATGAGGCCTAGTGGCTAACTAGCACATTAACCTTTGATACCATGTGAATGGGAGAGAACCAAGCAACCATCCACACAGTTCACCTTGAGAACTTGTCTTGCTGGAATTTGACCAATAAGTTATTCTCAAATCAAACCTGTGCCATATGATAGATTACACATTTTCTATTTCAACTGAGTAGATCATAAGCATTAAAGGCTTTTTGGCTAAATGAGTAAATGCTATACTTCAATGAAGGTGCCATGTCCGTGTCGGACATGTGTACGACATGGACACTTAACAGACACTCCTGGACACATGTCCAATACTTAATAAACGTGTCTATAATTCAAAAATAAATTTCGTTATTTTCAACATACACTTTGTTGAAATACCTCGGACATTTGGCGACTCATACCTTACATTCTCTAATACAATTCTTATATATCACAAACATATCTAAAAATAGTCATGCTCTACAATCTTCGAAACGATGTGAACACACCTTCAAAGTGTCCAAACTTTTCTTCTTCAAGACTTTACCATATAGTTGCCACAAGTTAAGCATGTATGAACACTTTTCATATAGGTGAAAATTATAATTATCCTGACAGGAGAGTTGAAGCATATATAATTAATAATCTTTATTATATTCACATAGCTTCATCTTTTAAATTATGTGACGCTTAGATAAAGGTTAATACTTTGTTGAGGATTCATAATTGTCTTATTCAATAGATTTCTAGAAATAAATATTTATATTTATATTTATATTTATATATGACTGTGTTCATGTGACATGTCATGGCCATGTCCTACTGTTTTAGGATTCTACAAGTTGGTGTGTATCCATGTTATATCGTGTCTATATCCCATGTTTATCTTTGTGCTACATAGCTTGCAAGTCTACGAAGAAATACTTATTATTTATAGGTCTTGGAGACTCGCATGAAAACATAATGATTCATTTGGGCCTTCCGTGGGGTTCTAAATGTATATTACTATGTCATATGAAATAATGACTTCATGTTAAGTTAACAACCAAGATAAACTACCCATTCAATTCATGTTATTATGAAACTTAATAAACCACCATAAATGCAATGTTACAATAACTTTTTCCAAGTAATATGATAATCAAGATGAACTAACCATTCAATCCATAGAGGTGTAGCCCAGTAGTGAATAATTTTTATGGTCAATATCTTGGCTTAGAGCAATTTAAATATTTTGCACACTCTCTTTTGTTAGTTGTAGAAGATCAAGAAATGCTAGAGATTTAGTAGATTAATCCTCCTATGGATTGACTGAGTTTGGCATGCATGCCCTTCCACAGGTGGAGAAGATTGTGAAACCAGGTTGTTCACAAGAAATGCTGGAGGTGGCCTTGAGTTCCATGTCTTTACTTGTCAGAAAGCTCTCTGTCATGTCCTCCAAACCAAAACCTCATTCCTCACTTTAAATTATTTTATCAATTGGTTGTACTATTACAGAGAGGAATGCACCTGTAATGATTTATTCAAGTATGAAATTTATGATTTTCATTCTTTTTCTTTTCTTCCCTAAAAAGGGGAAAATAAGGTTGTGGTAATGGATAGACCAGTCAGTCGTTATATATAGTCACGTTGAAATACCATAAGAATATTAATTTGATATCATCCATGACTGATTCACACTTGTTTTATCAGATTAACCACACATTCTAATTCAGGTGTAAATTAAATTTGGCTGGTATTCTTGTGCTGCCCCATTGTGATTGCACATTTTTATTTGTTTGGTGTTTGACAACAATAATATGATGAATCCAGATGATGTGAAAATATTTATGGATATTCTGAACGAGTCCAGGAGTCCCTAGTTAGGGAAACAGGTTTATATGAAAGGGTTGGTGGTTACCAGACCAGGATTACATCGGAAAGATAATGTCATAGGTTCATCTTGACAAGGTATGGTTTAACTACCGAGTTCTTGTTTCTTCAAATGCTGTTTTAAATTATATGGAACTATGCAGCTGTTTCTCATATTGGATAGCTGACCTGGGGATAATTCTTATTTTTTGGCTGATAAAAGGCCCAGTGCCCTACTTGCATTTTACCATAGATGTCACTCTTGAAATTGTAATTTATTATCCATTGATTGCACCATAGATGTCATATTATTACAAGAGATTTGGTAACTAGTTAGTTGTTTTTTTGGGTTTAAATTAGGCATAGTGACCTGCTGCGGCATTATAACCCTACATGTCATGTGCAGCAATGGTGAGGAACTAAACTAGCCATAACTTTGCCCTTGTTCAAATCATATCCAAATCCAAATCCATATGCATACGACAGGTTACAAAATCTATCTCTTGATTGGATAAATTATCTACCTGATATTTAGGTATCCTGTACTTGATTTTTAGAGGTAGAAAATTTCATGAAATGAAATATGATTATAGATAGCTTATTTTTGCATCATAGAACGAAGACAGATCATTTTGCAACAATGCAGTTTTCTCTTGGATACAAAGCAAACAATGGAAAACTCCAGGCTTCATCACCAGCCCTTTCAGATAAACTATAGGAGTCATGGACTTAGTTTTTGACATTATTTCATGATTGTATTAATCAGGTATCAAGTACTGCTAATATATATATATATATATATATATATTTCTTATTTTTATTTTTTTTATATCATAGATTTGCATAACACCTGCACAACAATGTTAAATACTGATACATCTTCTAATATCATATTAGGGCATAGCATATGCCGTGTAACTGTGCCAGAAGAACTCCAATAAGATGTTAATATTGCAACTTTCTGAATCGTAATTTGGAACATTTGCCCTTTGCAAATGATCACTTTTTTGTTAATGAAATGACTATGTTGAAGAACTTTGTTTTCTCCACTGACAGATGCTCAGCCACATGATGTGCAAATCTTGCAAACAGTTTGTCAATGACAGTGTTGCCGAAATGATTAGCCAATGTAGGCTCTGAAACAGCTCTTATACAACTTGCCACATTTTTCCCACTCCCATGTTTATCTAAAACAGAATGTTTGTCATCATCTTTGTCGCTGGCGTCCCAATTGACTTCAAAAACTTCTAGCCTATCAAGAGTAAAGGATCCTTCCTTCTGAATTATAGCCTTCACTTCATCTTTGTAGGGTGTATAAACGGGTATATTGAATGAATCAACTACAGCTTCTTCAAGGAGGTCCTAAAACCAATTGTAATGATTATAGACCAAAAATATAGATAAATAATTAGATGATGATGATCACGGCTTTGTTTTGTGTTTTTTTTTTTCTTCTACCATAGCAAGTAACTCACACACCCATTTTTGTCCCTAACGGGACTTGAACCATCTACCTTTTGAGGAACCACCAAGGTTTGTGGTCGAGTGGTATTTCCTCTCCTTCAAAATGAAAGGTAGTTCGAGTCTCCTGACTCTCCAAGAGCATTGTGGAATACCACTAGGCTACAATCCTCGGTATAATGAACATTAGTCGTGTTTTTGTTAAGAGGAAATGAGCTACACCTCAGCCACCATGTCGAGAAGTGATTCTGCCAATAGTTCCCAGAGACAGCGACAATCTTTGCTTGTAGGATCTGCAATTCTCCTGCCGATTAGTGTTAGAACCATATGCCCTCCAGGTATTATTTCCTCCGAGCGTAAGCTTAGAAATGTTGAGAAATCGCTTTGAAATTGCTTCAAGTATGCTTCAAACACATGGACATGACTTGTCTTTGCAATGTATATGTTGCCCTTGTTATTTTCCAGCCCTTCAGGAACCTGTATTTTAGTTACATGGTAAGGCAATAATTATGTATACTGAACATAATTGACATTAATGCATGTTTATGGACAGGATTTTCCTTTGAACTGTGCTCTAAATGAAGATGCTCACCTTAGAGAGCCAGTGGACACTGGAAGAAGAATGAACAAAGTGTAAGCTTTTGCTCGGGAAAAGCCTGCCATAGAAAGAACCCGGTGTTCCTGATACAAAACAAGTACTCGACTCTTTTCCTTTCTCTTTCTCGAGCTTCTTGTAGAATATCGGTAGTGATTTGAAAATGGTGTTGAAGTCATTGTCCGGAAGATCATTTAGATACACTTGGAATTCGGGTGCTTTGCAAGTTTTTTGCAGGCACAAACCATGAATTATGTGGATGATTTCACAGATGACCAAGAGGGTAGTTGGACCTGAAGAGCAACCCAAGTCTGCCATTTGAAAGCACTAGATGTTTTCATTATACATGTCATTGAGGGTTTCTTCTAGTACTGGCCGCGCCTTTTGTATTATTGTTTTCTGAAGAAATGGACATGTACTCGTAATAGTTAAGCGGAAAATTTCATAAGCAGGTGAAAGATTGAAACCTTGTATTCTTTAATTATATGTGAATGTGTGTTAAAGAATATAAAAAAAATTATATGTGAATGTGCAAGAGAGAGATACAGACCTGAATGATTGAATTATTGGCATAGCTAGTTTCTCCACTACCAGCTTTGGTGGGAAGAATGTTTACCACTGTCATCTTATCCTTGGGGTTGTGCTCTTGCTTTCTGATCATTATTATATATATCTACAATGAAATGCATACAGACAAGCTCATGAGAGCAAAAAAATATAATATAATATAATGGATTTGTTTCAGAATATATAATTTAATTATCTCACACGTGAGATTTGGTTTTTACTTTTTGATTGGGTATAGGGGTGACAAATTCTCCGCCTTTGTTTAGAGGGCGTTACGAGGGAGGTTAAACGGGGATGGAACAATTAGGAAAAATACAATGGAGTATTCAATCGGAACACCCCATTTAGACTGCGTATTTAATTAACCGCTCCCTCGTAATATCCAATAATTTTCGCGTAAAATATTTTTTTTAAAAGATATTTTTCTTTTTCAGGAAAAATATTATTTTATTTTTACTTTTGTTGGTGTTTGATAAAAGTTTACGTCGAGGTTGAGGTCGAGTCCATCAGGTGGGACATGTAAAATAGCTTACCGAAAATTGATGGATAAATTATTTTTATTAAATTTTAATATTTTTTTTCTTCGTAAATATTTTACGACAACCAAACAACAAAAAATAAAAAAATATTTTCTGAAAAATATTTTCCATCCAAACAAATGGAGCCTAAATATGGATTTCGGGCAAGAATGAAGAAAATTTTCTTTATACCGGTTGCACATCCAATTGTTCAGTAACAACGTGTGTAATACACGCTCGACATGTGTATTACATGAATAGTTCGAATGTGCACGTGCGATGTGTGTATTATATGAACGGTTCACCCGTTGTACAGTGCAATATGCGCAAACAAATTTTTCTTACAACAAAGAGCATAAATATCCTTTTTTTTTTTTTGTTTTTTTTTCAGATTATGTTACATAATTAATCTAAATTACATCAACACTACAAATTTGGTACATAAGAATAAAATAGAACGGTCATTTAAATTTTTTGTTTTTATCTTGAGTTTAATAAATGATATTAAAGTTGAAATGAGTGTTTCAACCAAAATTTTTAAAAAATATATATATAAAAATAAATGATCCGACAATCAAACACATCTAACTCAACTTGTTTATATGTCAAGTATCGCGTCATTATATTTGATGGCATTATGATCAAGTCATTGGCCATTTTATCATGGTTGAACCAAAATTTGAGTAAGTTTCAAATCCAATACATATAATTTGTATACAATAATGGGCCTAATTGCCGAATTCTACCTAGCTTTCCTATATTTTACAAACATGGATTGGACTCAAAATTTAGATCAGGGTCAAACCACTAACTGGCCCATTTTTAGTTCTAAGCTCTTATCACATCTTCCTCGCTCACCAGTAACAACACAAATACAGTGAGGGACTTGCAGACACGTGAATGCCACGTGCGTCGCTTCCATCGCATGTAGCTTTCCAATTACAACTTTCGAGACAGAAAATGAGCTCGTCCCTCGAAATCCATTGTCTCGCAGCTGAAACTCTGGTATTTGGCTTTGAATTCTCTTGATTTTCTGTTGATTCAACTTAAATACCAATTTACAAGAATATATATATATATATATATATCTATTTATGTATCTGTGTGCATATATATATGTATTGGTTTATAGGTATGCGTGTGTTTCGTTTTGGGTCAGTTCAATTTGGACGCTTAATTGGTAATTGCAAACGAATACACTTCTATCAATCTATGTGTTTAAACTTTGAATGTCCAAGAGAATTTATTCTATTTTGACATTTTGGTAACGATCATGGGGAGATTTCTACTACTTCTCAGTGTTTATGTTGCTACATAATTACCCACGTTTTATTTATTTTATTTTGTTTATTTGCAAATTCTTATGCTTATCTGTTTCATCGGGTTAAGTGATACTTTTATATGCTTCCTATATATGTGTTTTACCCATCATTCATATGCTTATTCGCATTAATTCCGAGGAACCGAGTAGTGAATTAATGAATTAGGAATATATGAGTACTCCCAAGTATTTTTTATTTTATTTTATTTTATTTTTTTTCCTGGGTAAAAACTCCCAAGTATTTTGATAGTGCCTGTGTAAGCTAGCATATTTCAGAGTAAATATTTTGACATGTAATCTGTATAAGTGGGAATTAGTAAATCTGAGTCAGACTTGATGATGGATTAACTTAATTGATTTCAAATAATTTATGTTTTCCGCCCTTTTTGTTGTTCTGCTAATGGATATGCAAGCCTAAAGTTGTAATATTTCTAAAAAAACCTTTATTTGCCCATTTTTTCAGCTGCCGTTCCTCAAATTTTTTATTTATTTTTCCTAACCAAAATTCAATCTCAAATCATACGAGTCCTTGTATATTGTAAATGGTTCTTGTTGAATGCACTGGAAGGTGTTCAGAAGAATTGGGCAAGTCAAAGGGCAAAAAGAACATCCATTGAGGCTGTGAGAATAGTCATTTCTTATAATGTAAGAATTTGGCAGCATGGAATTGTTGCATTGGAATTAGAATGAGAGGAAATTCAGTTCAGACTTTAAATGATTTTTCTTCAATTTCAATTCCAAGGCATCGATTCTATCCTGCCAAACTCAAAATCGATAAGAGTGACATGGATAAGTACTAGTGTGGCTGAAGGGCACAAACGAATTCAGTTTGTTATGTTATCATCAAAAGAACTTAATGCTATTCTCTTATTTCTCCTACATCTATAATTTATTTATTTATTTGTCTTGATAACTTTTTATCAGGGATCAGCTGTGAAGGTTGAATTTGGTGAGGTTGCTGCTATTCTAGATGTACCAAATGCCCTATCCGATTGTCAAGCACTTCCTTTTAAATATATACAACCACTAAGTCATGTCACAACAACATCAAGCAGAGTATCTGCTTATCTTATTGATGGACATTCAACAGTGAGGTTCAAAATGATTGTTGATTTCATTACCATCTTATTATACATTCTTTTCACATAAAAAGCAGAGAGTCCATTGCAATTAAGTCATATATTTTGAAGATTAAAGTGTAATATTGAGCTATCACATATTTAAAATAAAGCTTCACCTGCATAATGCCATATGGTCCTTTGTTTTTACAGAGTATGCAATCTTTTCAATTGTCAGAGATGATGTTTTAGTTGGATAATGAACTAAAGAATTTGTGTGTAATAGAAGGACCTATTTTGATTCACAAAGTTGTGTCTGTATTTTTCATCTTACGAATGTCGTGATAGGTTTTTGTTTTTTGTCTTTAGCTCTTTTTTACTTTATTGACACATAATTGATAAATTTTAAATTTACTGTTTTACTTACAGATCTTGAGCACAATATAATTGTGTGATTGGAGAACAATACCCTAAAATTGTACATACAATGGTTCCTTTAGAGGATATTCCATTCCAAAATCAGTCAATTCACTTCTCTCTGATAATGAATATAATGTGATATAAACAGTTACTAAAGAAGTATGGTTTCTTAAACACTGCTTTTTGATATCAGATGGGTGGTGTTCATCTTCTTGGGCTAAGGTCACCCAAAATCCCATATACATTTTCTGTTATTATGTTTCAACTGGTTATAACATTCTACAAATTTATGAATTTTGATCTTTCTATAATTTTTATGAGTTATTATTATTATTTTCTTAATCTTTATTTTTGCCACCATTATTTTCTTAATCTCTTCACTTAGTTTGTCAATATTATTTTGTGCTTCATCTGAAGCTTTGCTCTCATTTTTTTTTACAAACTGCTGCATGGAACTTGCTCAGGGTGTACATCAACATGACTACATCAGCTGGAATTTGTTTCTATTGTCAATTCAAACTTTGTCTTTGCTCTATCCTGATCGAAATGAAAAGGGATATTGAAATCTTATCATTTCATTGTTGTGGGAACACTAATTCTTGGTTTGATTGCATAAAATAAAGAGGGAAATGAATGAGAATTCTTAAAGCAAAATGATAGAACGTGAACCTTTTCCCTCATAACAGAATTAAACAAAAATATGAGAAACTCGCTAGCCTTAATTTAGTGTTGACTTATTTATTAGATTGATACGGGACCATTGCTTGGTGCTGCGAAAATGCTTGGGTTGTCAAGCAGGAGAACATGAGTTTGACTCCTGAAAGCAACTGCCTTGTGCAAATATTGCCAAAGCTTTCTAGCCCCCCGATTACCGAGGACAGCAATGGTTAATGGCTCTTCTTTTAGTAGATTGATTCACATTTCTTTTGTAAAATTGGTTTTATGGGCATTTGCCTTTATAAAATTATAGCTGCAAATTTATTTGTTTGGTGTTTCATAACAGTATACTGAATCAAGGTGATGAAGAACTTTTGACAGATGCTATTTACCACAATTCAGAGTCGTCCATATTTAAGGAACCAGAGACTTTTAGGAAGACGATTAGTTCATGTTCACAAGGAGAGGACTACATTGGGAAGATGAAGGATTTCTAGGTCTATCTTGACGTGGTAGAGGTTCAACTACCAAATTCTCCTTTCTTTACGTCTCTTTTCTCACTTTCAGTTTTACTTTATGTTCATTATAGGCCATGGTACACAGTTGTGCCATATCTGAACTTCTGCATGGCAGCCAAGAAGACAACAGAAATTCTTGTTACCAGGTTGATATAAGGCCTAGTGGCTTAATAGCACATTAACCTTTGATACCATCTGTATGGGAGAGAACCAAGCAACCATCCCATGGTCCACCTTGAGAACTTGTCTTGCTGGAATTTGACCAATAAGTTATTCTCAAATCAAGCCTATGCCACTGGATAAATTACCCATTTTCTCTTTCAACTAAGTAGATCATAAGCATTAAAGGCTTATTGGCTAAATAATTAAATGCTATACTTCAATGAAGGTGCCATGTCTGTGTCAGGCGTCTACCATGGGCACTTCACAGACAGTCCCAGGCACATGTCCAATGCTTAATGAACACGTCTATAATTTAAAAATAAATTTCGTTATTTTGAACATACACTTCTTTGAAATATCTCGGACATTTGGCCGACGCGTACCATGGGCACTTCATAGACACTCCAGGACACATGTCCAATGCTTAATGAACACGTCTATAATTTAAAAATAAATTTCGTTATTTTGAACACACTTCTTTGAAATATCTCGGACATTTGGCCGATACGTACCTTACATTCTCTGATACAATTCTTATGTATCACAAACATATCTAAGAATAGTCATGTCCTACAATCTTAGAAACGATGTGAACACACGTTCAAAGTGTCCAATTTTTTCTTCTTCAAGACTTTATCATATAGTTGCTACATGTCAAGCATGTTGTGACACTTTTCATATAGGTAAAAAATATAATTATACTACAAAGTAGGAAAGTTGAAGCATATATAATATAATAATCTTTATTATATTCTCACAGTTTCATTTTTTAAATTATGTGACTCTTAGATAAAGGTTAATACTTTGTTGAGGATTAATCATTGTCTTATTCAATAGATTTCTATAAATAAAAAATTATATTTATATATGGCTGTGTTCACATCGTGGCCTTGTCGTACTGTTGTAGGATTCTACGAGTTGGTGTATCCGTGTTATATTGTGCCTATATCCCATGTTTATCTTTGTGCTACATAACTTGCAAGTCTGAGGAAATACTTATTATTTATAGGTCTTGGAGATTCACATGGAAACAAAATGATTCATTTGGGCCTTCCGTGGGTTCTGAATGTATTACTATGCCATATGAAATAATGACTTCATGTTAAGTTCACAACCAAAATAGTAAAACTAAGAGATGTAAAAAGGCCATTTCTTGAAATTCTGAAAGATCATATTGCAAGTCTCTCTCTCTGTTTTTTTTTTTTTTTCTGGAAGGTGATTGTTAGTATTTCCAATTTCATTTCCTAAATTTCTTAGGTTACTGAGATGTTTTCTTAATAGTTAATGGTCCGTTGGGTGATATGTTTATGGACAACTCCCACCATATTGGCATTCATCAAACTGCTTGTTTCCAAGTTTAGCTAACGATCATGTGTATCTGGTTTTTTTATTATCAAACTTGATAAATCACCGTAAATGCAATTTTGCAATAATCAAGATGAACTATCCATTCAATCTATAGAGGTGTAGCCCGGTTGTAAAATTTTTTTATGGCCAAGATCTTGGCTTAGAGCAATATAAATATTTTGTGAACTGTCCCTTTTTTCAGCTGTAGAGGTCAAGAAATACTAGAGATTTAGTAGATTAATCCTCCTATGGATTGACTGAGTTTGGCTTGCATGCCCTTCCACAGGTGAGGAAGATTGTGAAACCAGGTTGTTCACAAGAAATGCTGGAGGTGGCCTTGATTTCCATGTCTTTACTTGTGACGACCTTGTGGGCGGGTATGCCGTGGGCGGGTGCGAGAGACACTGTCAGGCTACCACACTGGCGAGCTACAGGTGCACAATCCCACATCGCCTGGGTAGAGGAAAGGTGAAGTGCTTATATGTAAGTGTGTCACTTCCAATTGGTATGAGGCCTTTTGGGGTGAAGTCCAAGAACAAAACCGTGCGGGCTCAGGCCCAAAGCGGACAATATCATACCATGTGGAAAGGTGAAATGCTTATATGTAAGTGTGTCACCTCCAATTGGTATGAAGCCTTTTGGGGTGAAACCCAAGAACAAAACCGTGCGGGCTCAGGCCAAAAGCGGACAATATCATACCATGTGGTGGAGTGGGTCGTTACAAATGGTATCAGAGCCTGACCCAGCCGGAAGTCTGCTGACGGGGACGTCGGGCCTCCAAGGGGGGTGGATTGTGACGACCTTGTGGGCGGGTGTGCCGTGGGTGGGTGCGAGAGACACTGTCAGGCTACCACACTGGCGAGTTACAGGTGCACAATCCCACATCGCCTGGGTAGAGGAAAGGTGAAGTGCTTATATGTAAGTGTGTCACCTCCAATCGGTATGAGGCCTTTTGGGGTGAAACTCAAGAACAAAACCGTGCGGGCTCAGGCCCAAAGCGGACAATATCATACCATGTGGTGGAGTGGGTCGTTACATTACTTGTCAGAAAGCTCTCAGTCATGTCCTCCAAACCAAAACCTCATTCCTCACTTTAAATCAATTTCTCAATTGGTTGTACTATTGCAGGGAGGAATGTACCTGTAATGATTTATTCAAGTGTGAAATTTATGGTTTTCATTCTTTTTCTTTTCTTCCCTAAAAAGGGGAAAACAAGGTTGTGGTACTGGATAGACCAGTCAGTTGTTATATAGAGTAAGTTGAAGTACCTTAAGATTGTTAATTAGATGTCATCCATCACTGTTCCACCCTTGTTTTATCAGATTAACCACAAATTCTAATTCAGGTGTAAATTAAATTTGGCTGGTATTCTTGTGTTGCCCTATTGTGACTGCACATTTTTATTTGTTTGGTGTTTGACAAACATTATATGATGAATCTAGATGATGTGAAAATATTGATGGATATTCTGAACAGTCCAGGACTATCCAGTTTAGGGAAACAGGCTTATATGAAAAGGTTGGTGGTTACCAGACTAGGATTACACCGGGAAGACAATGTCATCTTGACAAGGTATGGTTTAACTACTTGTTTCTTCATCTCCTTTTCTTCAAATGCTGTTTTAAATTATAGGAACTATGCAGCTGTTTATCATGTTGTATAGCTGACTCAGGTATAATTCTTATTTTGGGGTTGATAAAAGGCCCAGTGCCTTAATTTCATTGTACCATAGATGTCACTCTAGAAATTGTAATTTATTATCCATTGATTGCACCATAGATGTCATATTATTACAAGAGAGTTGATAACTAGTTAGTTGTTATTTTGGGTTTAAATTAGGCATAGTGGCCTGCTACAGCATTATAACCCCACATGTCATGTGCAGCAATGTTGAGGAACTAAACTAGCCATAACTTTGCCCTTGTTCAAATCATATCCAAATCCAAATCCACATGCACACGATAGATTACAAAATTTCTCTCTCGATTGGATAAATTATCTACCTGATAGTTAGGTATCAAGTACTTGACTTTAGAGAGGTAGAAAAATTCATGAAATGAAATATTATTATAGATAGCTTATTTTTGCATCATAGAACGAAGGCAGATCATTTTGCAACAATGCAATTTTCTCTTGGATACAAAGCAAACACTGGAAAACTCCAGGCTTCATCACCTGCCCTTTCAGATAAACTATAGGTGTCATAGACTTAGTTTTTGACATTATTTAATGATTGTATTCATCAACTATCAAGTACTGCTAAAATATATATATTTCTTATTTATTTATTTATTTTTTTTTTATATCATAGATTTGCAGAACACATATTGTTAAATACTGATACATCATCTTATATCATATTTGGGCATAGCATATGCCTGTTGTAATTGTTTGAAGAAGTTCAATAAAATGTTGATATTGCAACTTTCTGAATCGTAATTTGCAACATTTTCCCTTTGTGAATGGTCACTTCTTTGTTAACGAAATGACTTATGTTGAAATACTTTGTTTTCTCCATGGACAGATGCTCAGCCACATGTTGTGCAAACCTTGCAGACAGTTTGTCAATGACAGTGTCTCTGAAATGATTAGCCAACATAGGCTCCATAACAGCTCTTATACAACTTGCCACAATTTTCCCACTCCTATGTTTGTCAAAAACAAAATGTTCGTCACTATCTTTGTCGCTGGCGTCCCAATTGACTTCAAAAACTTCTAGTCGGTCAAGAGTAAAGGATCCTTCCTTTTGAATTATACCCGTCACTTCTTCCTTGTAGGGTGTATAAAATGGCATATTGAATGAATTCAACTTCAGCTTCTTCAAGATGGTCCTAAAACCAAATGTATTAATTACAAACCAAATAAATAAATAAATAAATAGATGGTGACGATAACTTTTTTTTTTTTTTGGGTATTATTTTCTTTTCTTTTGTTTTTTTTTTTTTTTTTTCTACTATAGCAAGTAACTCACACCCATTCTAACAGGACTTGAACCCTCGACCTTTCGAGGAACCACCAAGGTCTGTGGTCTAGTCATGTCTCTCCAAGAGCATTGTGGGAGTTCTTTGCCAGGAAAAAAAAAAAAAAAAAAAAAAAAAAAAGACAGAAAGAAAAAATACCACTAGGCTACAGCCCTTGGTATAATGAGCACTGATTATTTGTGTTTTTATTGAGAGGAAATGAGCTACACCTCAGCCACCATGTCAATAAGTGATTCTGCCAGGAGTTCCCAGGGATGGCGACAATCTGTGCTTGTAGGATCTGTAATGCTCTTTCCCATGAATGTTAGAACCATACGCCCTCCGGGTCTTGCTTCCCCTGTGCGTAAGCTTAGAAATGTTGAGAAATCGCTTTGAAATTGCTTCAGGTATGCTTCAAACACATGGGAAGGACTTGTCTTTGCAATGTATATGTTGCCCTTGTTATTATCCAGTCTTTCAGGAACCTGTCTTTTAGTTACATGGTAAGGCAATAATTATGTATACAGAACATAATTGACATCAATGCATGCTTATGGGCAGGATTTTCCTTTGTATTGTGCTCTGAATGAAGATGCTAACCTTGGAGAGCCAATGGACGCTGCAAGAAGAATGAACATAGCTCCTGCTAGGGAAAAGCCTGCCATAGAAAGAACCTGGTGATCCTGATACAAAACAGGGACTGAAATTCTCTTCTTTCTCTTTCTTGAGCTTCTCAAGGAATATTGGTAGTGATTTGAAAATGGTGTTGAAGTCAATGTGTGGAAGATCATTTAGATACACTTGAAATTCAGGTGCTTTGCATTTATTTTGCTGGCACAGACCATGAATTATGTCGATGGTTTCAGAGATGACCAAGATGGTATTTGGACCTGAAGAGCAACCCAAGTCTGCTATTTTAAAGCACCTGGGAAAGTTTTCATTATACATGTCATAGAGGGTGTCTTCTAGTGCTGGCCGCGCCTTTAGTAACACTGTTTTCTGAAAAAAATAATGGACATGTACTCTGATAGTTAGGGGGACAGAGAGAGACCTGAAGGGTTGAATTATTGGCATAGTTACTTTCTGATCATTATATATATAGACACGCATATACAAGTTCCCTACTCAGCCATAGTTTACATGGACAATGAATTTGGAATCTTCCTCAAGGAATTGTGATTTGTCCTCGCCGAACTCTAAATGCCAGAGGAGCCCACCAACCATCTTTCTTGTTCGGTATTTGAGTTTGGTTAGTCTATCACTGCTCATATTAAGCAATGCACTATGTATTTGGCTAGGTTTTTGAAAATCTCTGACAAGGTATGGTTTAACTACTGAGTTCTTATTTGTTTGGTATTTGACAACAATATGATGAATCCAGGTGATGAAAATATTGATGGATATTCTCAACCTGTGCAGGAATCCCTAGTTTAGGGAAACAGGTTTATATGAAAGAGCCATTGGTGATTACTGGACCAGGATTACATTGGGAAGATATTAATGTGACAGGTTCATCTCGACAAGGTATGGTTTAACTACTGAGTTCTTGTTTCTTCACCTCCTTTTCTCCAATTGTTGTTTTAAATGATATGGAACTATGCGGATAAAACACATGTTGGATAGCTGACCCGGGGATAATTCTTATTTTGGGGTTGATAAAAAGTTCAATGCTATTTGCAATATTGGACCATAGATGTCACTCTAGAAACTGTAAGTTATCCATTGATTCCACCATGGATGTCATATTATTACATGATAGTTGATAGCTAGTTAGTTGTTAGTTGGGGTTTAAATTGGGCACAGGGGCCTGCTACAACACTATAACCTACGTGTCATGTGCAGCAATGGTGAGGAACCAAACTAGCCAAAAATTTGTCCTTGATCCTGATCCATATGCACATGACAGATAACAAATTTTCTCTCTTGATTGGATAAATTATCTACCTGAATTTTAGGTACCATTACCTGATTTTTAGAAAAGTAGAAAAATGGATGAAATGAAATATGATTAATAGAAAGCATTTTTTGCATCATAGAGTTCAGACAGATTATTTTGCTACAATGCAGTTTTCTCTTGGATACAAAGCAAAAACTGGTAATAATTGTATTCATCAAAGTATCATGTACTGCTAAAATAATCTTTTTATATCATAGATTTGCATACCACATGCACAACAATCTTAAATACTGATACATCACCTTAAATCATAGTGGGGCATAGCATATGCCTATTGTAATTGTGCCGTAATAATAACTTCGTATAACATGTTAATATTGCAAATTTCTGAATCGTAATTTGCGGCACCTTTATTTGCCCTTTGTGAATGGTCACTTCTTTGTTAACGAAATGACTATGTTGAAAAACTTTGTTTTCTCCATGGACAGATGCTCAGTCACATGCTGTGCAAATCTGGAAAACAGTTTGTCAATGACAGTGTCTCCAAAATGATTAGCCAACATGGGCTCCGTAACAGCTCTTACACAACTTGCCACATTTTTCCCACTCTTATGTTTGTCGAAAACAAAATGTTTGTCATCAACTTTGTGGTTGGCATCCCAATCGACTTCAAAAGCTTCTAGCTTGTCAAGAGTAAAGGATCCTTCTTTGTGAATTATAGCCTTCACTTCATCCTTGTTGGGTGCATAAAAGGGCAAATTGAATGAATCAACTTCAGCTTCTTCAATGAGCCCCTAAAACCACAAGTGATGATTATGTGATTTTAGAGGACCAAAAAAAAAAAAAATTATAAAATGATGATAAACACTGGTTTAGTTGTGTTTTTATTCAGAGGAAATGAGCTACACCTCGACCACCATGGTGAGAAGTGATTCTCCCAAGAGTTTCCCGAGAGTGGGACTGTCTTTGCTTATAGGATCTGCAATGCTCCTACCGATGAGTGTCAAAACCATGCGCCCTCCAAGTATTATTTCCTCCGAGCATAAGCTTAGAAATGTTGAGAAATCGCTTTGAAATTGCTTCAGGTATGCTTCAAACACATGGAAAGGACTTGTCTTTGCAATGTATATGTTGCCCTTGTTATCATCCAGCCCTTCGGGAACCTGTCTTTTAGTTACATGGTAAGCAATAATTATGTATACAGAACATAATTAACATAAATGCATGCTTATGGACAGGATTTTCCTTCGAATTGTGCTCTGAATGAAGATGCTAACCTTGGAGAGCCAATGAACACCGTAAGAAGAATGAACAAAGTGTAAGCTTCTGCTCGGGAAAAGCCTACCATAGAAAGAACCCGGTGATCCTGATACAAAGCAAGGACTCAACTCTTCTCGTCTCTGTTTGTTGAGCTTCTTGTAGAATGTCGGTAGTGCTTTGAAAATTGTGTTGAAGTCATTGTTTGGAAGATCATTTAGAAACACTGGAATTCAGGTGCTCTGCAATTATTTTGCTGGCACAAACCTTTAATTGTGTCGATGATTTCGGAGATGACCAGAAGGGTATTTGGACCTGGAGCACAACCCAAGTCTGCTATTCCAAAGCACATTGGGAAGTTCTCATTATACATGTCATTGAGGGTGTCTTCTAGTACTTGCCGCGACTTTAGTATCACTGTTTTCTGAAAAATAAACATGTGCTCTGATTTTTCAGTGAATTTTTGCATACATTATGTCTATTTGCATGTGTGTGTGAGAGAGAGAGATAGAGAGACCTGAAGGATTGAATTATTGGCGTAGCTAGTTTCTCCATTGCCAGCATTCATGTGAAGAATGTTTTTGACTACCGTCTTGTCCTTGCGTTTTGCTCTTGCTTTCTGGTCACTCAGTATTTATAGAGACTCGCATACTGCTCAACCACAGTTCACATGGTGTCATTTGTCAAGCTCTTGACTCTTGAGACTCATTTCCACTTTGCGCGGCTTCTGGAAATGTCTCTGATATACGGAAAAATGGAAAATGATTAATGGATTTGTTTAGAAGATCACATCTATCTCAACCATTATATGTGTGTGTATAGAGTAAATGAAATATATATATATATATATATATATATATATATATATATTTGGAAGTTAAAGCAAATACGCACACCCTCTATTTCCACCGAGGTTCGAACCTCCAACCTCTCCTTTGGAAAGAAATGGGTGATATCGTTGGGCCATTTGGTCCTATGGTAAATGAAATATTGGTACACCGGTGGTGATAGATATATATGGTTCATGGCCAAAGTAGTAATTGGCATCAAGAGGCGAAAGCAATAGGTTGAAGTAAGTTAAAAGCCACAGCATATCCCTATGTTGCTTAGACAAACCACATTGTCATATATTCTGATGCCTCCTATGACTCTCACTCTCACTTTCACTCTCACATTCTGCTTCTATGTACAAAGTCTCTGAAACATTATCATAGAAGATTGTCTTTTTTATTCTTTTCTTTATGCATGAAGACCACCATCAAAAGAGATGTCCTTGGGATTTTGAAGAATTGAATCATATTGGAGGCTTTCCCTTTTGCAGTTTGGTGTTATTGTCAATGGTCGTGAAGAGGCAGCATCCATACTTTAAATGAGTAAACAACATATTAAAAAATAATAATACGATCCCAACCATTTGAGTGGCTTCGAGTTCGGGTGTGGACAAAAAGTGTGTGTGAACGGGATTTAAAGGTTCGATCCTAAATCTTTGGAAAATTTGACAGGATTTGAACCTAGATCATTCATATCTTTTAAATCTTATTAGGGTTTGTTGTTTTTTTCTCTTCAAGCAAACATATACGTTTGTATGTATTTTTCTCTTTGATTTGATGAACCAGAGAGAGAAAATGAAGGAAGCAGTACAACGAAGATACGACTATGGAGAAATCGAAGAGATAGAGAGGGATCGTCAAAACGTTTCTTTTATTTATTTATGTTGGTATATTTAGCGCGCAAAGAAAATATTAATTATTTAGGTAATTATGTTATTTTTGGTATTTTAGCGTGCAATGAAAATATCAATTATTTAATTAATTACGTGGAAATTACAAGTACGATTTGGATTAAAAGTAGAACAACTTAATCGGACAGAGTATCATTACTCTATTGAAAATAAATCGAATTAAAAGAATCCTTGCAATCTATAAGGGACTTGTGGGGAAAGAAACTTTATCCTTCCATATATGGTTAAGTCATCGTTGCAACATTCATAGAACTATAGAAGACATACAAGAAAAATAAGCTTGAGTCGCCAAAATTGTAACTCACTTGTATAAAGCATTTTCTCGATATTTCTTAACTGCTTTGAAGTTTAATTGAAACCAAATCTCTACCAAAAAATATAAATAAAAAAAGAATGAATCCAAAGGATGCACCCTTGATAAAAGAAAAGGCAAACGGCATATACATCCACTTAAAATTTCATGCAAATTTACATTAGTCAGAACATAGTGTTATAAGATTTCATTGCAGTATACTATGCATACACATAAATTACATACCAAATTTCTCTATTCTACTAAATTCAGTGAAGATAAGCTAAAAAACCCACCCGCCCATTCTTCGTTAAGATCCGATCGAAACATTTTAAGAGTATATATGTGTGTGTGTAATAATTTAGGGCTGCAACTTGGGTTGGCCCAACCCAGCCCAGTCCCAATCCAACCTCAATCCGAAGCGAGTTGGGTTGGGCCAACCCGAATTGTCTCAACATTGGTTATGATCATAATTCGAACCGAATATTTTCGGACGGGTTGGGTCGAGTTGACGGGTTGAGATTTAAAAAAATATATAATTTTTTTTAACATTTATATATATATATATATAATATATTAAAATAATAAATTATATATATTTGATTATATTATTATAAAAAAAAACACAAAATATTTTTAGGGCAAATCATTTCAGCCCCCTTATCGCCTCCAGCTCCATTCTCTCTCTCTCTCTCTCCCCAACTGCAAGTTACAAAATCTACAAGAATCAGAAGTTCAAAACCCAGATCTTTCAGTTTCCATCGCCCGCTGTTCCAGTTTGTTCAAGCTTCGCCGGATTGGTTCAAGCTTCGCCATATCATTTCAGATTTGTTCAAAAATTCAAAACCCAGATTGTTCAAGCATTGCCCATGGACGGCGGCAGAGGGAGAAAGATAAAGAAAAAGAAGAGAGAGAAAGAGAAAGAAGATAAAATAAAATAAAATTAAGCCCCTTTCTCAACTCTCAAGCTTCGCCCATGGACGGCGGTAAATAGAGAAAGAGAGAGGAGAGAGAAAGGAGGAAAAAAAAAAAAAAGTGTTTTGGGTTAGGTTCGGGTTGAGCCCATCCCAACCCGAATTTGTCTGGGTTTTGACAAAACCCAACCCGAACATAAACTCGATTTGTGAATATAAGTCCCAATTTCAAAATTTCTCGGTTGGGTTGGGTTAGCCCGCCCAAGTTGCAGCCCCTACATTGGCTAGTCATTTCGGAGACGCTGTCATTGACAAACTGTTTGCAAGATATGCATAGCTTGTGGCTGAGCATCTGTACATGGAGATAACAAATATTTTCAACATAGTCATTTCTTTGACAAAGAAGTGACCATTCACAAAGGCCAAAGGGCAAATAAAGGTGTTGCAAATAACGATTCAGACATTTGCAAAAATAAACATGTTATTTAAAGTACTTCCGGCACAATTACAAAAGGCATATGCTATGCCCCACTATGGTATAAGAAAACTTATCAGTATTCAACATTGTTGTGCATGTGATACACAAATCTATGACATAAAAAATATATATGTATTTTAGAAGTATTTGATACTTTTATGAATACAATCATTAAATAATTTCAAAAACTAAGTTTCTATGACTTTTACAGTTTATTTTGAAGGGCAGGTGATGAGGCCTTGAGTTTTCCCGTGTTTGCTTTTTATCCAAGAGAAAACTGCATTGTTGCAAAATGATCTGTCTTAGCTCTACGTTACAAGAATAATCTATCAATTTATCATATTTCATTTCATGAATTTTTCTACATTTCTGAAAAATCAGGTAATGCTTACCTAAAAATTAGGTACTGGTGACCTAACAATCAGGTAGATAACTTATCTCAATCAAGAGAGAGAATTTGTTATCTGCCATGTGCATATGGATTTGGATTTGATTTGGACGAGGACAAAGTTGTCACTAGCTTGAAAGTTGTCGCTAGCTTGGTTCCTCAACATTGCTGCTCATGTCATGTAGGGTTATAATGCTGTAGCAAGCCACTATACCTAATTTAAACCCAAAAGAACAGCCAACTAGTTACCAACTCTCTTGTAATAATATGACATCTATGGTGCAATCAATGGATAATAAATTACAATTCCTAGAAAGACATCTATAGTACAATTCAACCCCAAAATAACAATTTTTATCCCTCTTTAGCTATCCAACATGAGAAACAGCTGCTTGGTTCCATATAATAATTTGAAATAGCAATTGAAGAAAAGAAGATGAAGAAACAAGAGCTTGGTAGTTAAACCATACCTTGTCAAGATGAACTTGCAACATTATCTTCCCAATGTAATCCTAGTCCAGTAATCACCAATGGCCCTTTCATATAAACCTGTTTCCCTAAACTAGGGAGTCCTGGACTGGTTGAGAATATCCATCACCATATTGCTGTCAAACACCAAATAAATAAAAATGGCAGTCACAATGGGCAACACAATAATACCAGCCAAATTTAATTTACAGCTGAATTAGAACACGTGGTTAATATGAATAACAAGTGTGAATCAATCTTGAACTAAATTTCGTCCAATTCCAAATTCAAGCCACTAATTCGGTGCTCCCAAACATTGCTAGATATTTCAAAGTGACTCTATGTAACAACTGACAGGTCATTTCCAGTACCACAACCTTGTTTTCCTCTCTTTAAGGAAGAAAAAAAAAAAATGAAAACCATAAATTTCATACTGTTGACCCTAAAATCGGTTGGTTAGAGCCGATCTTAAATTGATGAGTTGCGGGCGTGCCAGAACCAAATATATGGTTCAATTGTGAGTTGTCAACTTATAGTCTCTTAGAGAATGTTGACTTCAGGCGATTATTGTAGATAGAGAACAAATAAACTCCTAAATGAGTTCAATATAGCCTTAGTTAAAAGGACTTTACCAATGAATAAATTATAGTAATAATATGAGAATAGAAATGGGAGAAAAACAGATATAGAAGGTGATAGGGAGAAGAGATAGAGAGACTGAGATATAGAGAGAGAAATAGAATGAGACTGAAATAGAGAGAGATAAAGATAGCAAGGATGTTATTTGAGGAAAGTGCTTGAGAAAGCAAACAAAATAATAATAAGAATTCTGAGGGTGCTGGACCCCTTGTACATCATGCCTCTCTGTTTATTTATAGAATAAATGGTAAAACAAATTCCTAAATGCAAGCATCCTAGTTATATTCTAATACAACCACATAATTATTCAAATTAAACTAATCCTAACTAAATACTAATTCCAAATAAAATCTAATCCTATCGATAAACCAACTAAAAATAAATTCAAACTAAACATTCCTAGATAAACACTAATTCAAAAATCAAGTAAACACATAAATCTTATCTAACATAAAGTTCAAGAACATTCTATCCATGTAGCATCCTTGCATACAACTTTATTTTGTATAAGAACTACCACGTCACTGTTCATGTATAACACTAATGGA